TAGTTCGCCGTTGGCGAAGTAGTAGTGTTATATAGGCATCGTTGGTAGCGAAGAGGAGGGTACTCGAAAGAGTAGTAGAGCTCGTTACTAGGCTGGCTATACTAGAGTTTATACTCGTTCTAGACGAAGATACTAGACCTCCCGCTATATTATTATAGCAGCCGGTAGCTGCGGAGGCTATAAAGGCTACGGAGGCTATAAAGGCTACGGAAAGGGAATAATATAGACTCGTTTAGACCGAGTAGGGGCAGAAGATAAAATCGGTAGTAATACTACGTTATTTCGATCTACTTGTTCCGAACGAAGAGGATCTCTTCTTATACTATTTACTCCGGATTCTATTAGACGTGCCGTTGCTCTTAGTCCTACTCTTCGTCGACGCCGAATAATAGCGGGTTTATAGTAGACGGGCGTCTCTAGTTCCATCGTTAGTACCGAGTCTTTATTAATCTACTAGTATCGGTCGAATAACCGAGGATTAAGGAAGTATCTTCGTTTATATAGAATCGTAAAGAGTGTCTAGTAGTATAGTCGGCTATATATCGCCTTAAACGAACTAGTATATTATCTTCGTTAGAAACGAGGGTCGGACTAGCTCTTAATCCAGTTTTGCTTGGCCTTAGTAAGCTTAAGGGAGGTCTATATTAACGCGTAGCGGTAAATCTAACCCTAATAGTAGTTCTAGAACTCGCTACGAACGGCGGTTAGACGCTAGATATTATCCTTCGCTTCGTCGTAAACGATTATCGTAGTAGTAAGCGCCTACTACGTCTCTAGCCTACGGATAAGCGTAAAGACGTTACTACGAGAGTTAATAATCTACTTCTTAATCTAGGTATAAGCGTCTTTAACACGAGACGTAGCAATATTGCCGAAATATAGATGGGCCTTCGTCTATACCGAAATAAATATCTTCTTCTACGGCCACTACTCCGCCTCTAGATAGTTAGAAATGCGAGTATTAAGTCTCTCTATGCTCGCTGCGGCCGAAGTAAACTCCTCTTCGGTCTAGGCGTTATAGTATATAGAGAAACGATCTATAATCTCTTTCGCCCTCGCCGAATCTACCCACTTCGTGCCTTACCGGGATTGAGGATACCTCTCTCGTGTATAGGTAAGGACATCCTTATTAATATACTAGTGGTAAAGGATGATTAAAATACCCGTAAAGCTACGCTTTACTGCATTAATACAACTAATATTACGGTCTATTAAAATAACCCTTAGAAGTAGTACTTCGTTTTTAACGAGGATCTTATAGAGGCTTAAGAGCGCCTAGTAATATACCTCCTCCGTTTAAGACGAAAGAAGGCTAATACTAAGCGGGATTATTCGGTTATTTACTATTATACTAACTATATTTAGTAATAGCCGGTTGTATCTATTCGTCTTAAACGTAAGATTAATAAGTAGAATGTCTAGATTAGCACGTTAGAGCTTAATCGTCTCGGGAGAAAGCGTAAGTAGGGAATCTAGTTAATACTCGTTGTTAACGATAAAGCGGAAGGCAAAGTTCTTTCGTTAAAGACGAGAGAGTAGTGCATTTACTATATTCTCGTATATAAGCTCCTAAAGGCGATTAGCCTACCGGAGGTTATAGACATTCTATTACGTTACGAGCGCAGTAGGATATCTATTTATAATAGACGTAAGAGACTAGTTCGCTCGAATGCTACTAAGCTACTACTCTTAAATAAGCTCGGTAAGCTATAGTATCTCGGCTCGTTACCGACGACGCTAAGAGGCGAAGACACGGCCATTAATACTAGGCGGGTAATTATAATAGAAGCTTAGGTTTTCTTATTAATAACGAATCTTCTATTCGCTATTAACGTTATTACGGTCGGTAGTAACGAAGAGAAAGCCTATCTTATAATCTATACGGATAGAACCTCTTCTAGGGCGGCGACTATTTAGCTAATTCGGCCTAGACGAATAGTATTCGTCTAGATAATCGTTATCGTCCGGGTTAGGGTTATTACGGGTGCCATTCTTTCGCCCCTTACGATTATAGATAATGCGCATCTAATAGACGGCTCTATTTATCTTCTTCTACTTACGCTTGCGGAAGTCTATGCCATACGCAAGGCCCTAGTTATAATAAGCCCTTTCGCTATTAGCGAAGAACTCGAACGTCTCTATCGGTAGGGGCTTAATAATAAAGACCTATTCGCCCTCGTCCGTTATAAACGAAGGATAAAGAAGCTAGGGTAGAACTTTATTATCCTTAATAGCGGTATTAGGGTCCTCTTCGGTTTTATTAAGGGCTATAACATCCTCCTCGGACTTAAATCTAGACTCCGGCTCGTTTTTAGCGAAGATGTTATTACTAGTAATACTAGCTTCGTTATTAACGAGCCGGTGCCCATCGTCGGACTCGCTAGTAGATCCGAGGTCGACAATCTCTATAGTAGTATAGATAGAAGGCGCGTCTTCGCGTTCGTTAGAACCGAGCGGATCGGGCGGTAGTAGTAATTAGCGGGCGACGTATATACCCAAGGCACGTATACGTCCCTATCTAGGCGGTTCTCGTCTAATACGTATAATATGGTATATCGCTTCGTTTAGAACGTAGTTAGACATGCTAGTCGGTATAAACGAAGTGTTATTACTAGAGGCTTAAGGCTTACGGGTTGCGTTATTCGATAACCGTAAGCTATAAGGACTATAGCTTCGGTCGCACCAAAGCAGAGTAGAAGAATTTATAGCGTAGTATATACGTTCAAAACACTATGATTGCAGTAGTAAGTATTATTATTATATTCGTTATTACCGAACGTGCTACACTAATCGCTAAAAAGTGGGGAGGGTGGTACGTTAAGATTTCGAGGGTGGTACGTTATCGCTTCCCGTCGAACGTCCCTGCCAGCTGCCGTGGTGCGAGCTCAGGCGTCTTGCGGTGAGACCATCGAGTTTGCCTTACGACTGCCGACATCGGAAAGCGTCCGGAGCTCATTCCATCTCGTCTCGGACACGTCAGTTCGATTCTGCACCCAAAGGTCGTTTTGCATTCTCTGGACGCGTTGGGAATCGAGCTGATATTCACGTGAAATGCCAGCCGTTTTGATTACCATTTGCAATCCTACGATTGGCGCTCGAGCCTCCGCGGACACGATAAGCTCAACGCCCAAGGCTTTGTTTCAACCACGTCAACTTTCCAACGGCGGCAAGGCGGCCTTTTTGTGGGATCTGCGATCCATGTGCAGAGAACGTCTGCCTGCGAAGTCCGAACAGCGACCGACAAGAAGAATGTCACCATCCTTCGTACTCGTATTGCGAGGCGGTCTGCGACTGCGGTTGCATCATGCCAAGTTCGACATGATCGCACCGTCTGTCCCAGACGATTGGATTTGTTCTGACTTTGGTGGTCACATTATTATTCGAACAGACGTGGCGCCGACGTTGTGGTCGTGGTGCAGACGTGTGCTGATCGTCCGGTTGAAGGGCCGAAAACAGACCACACTTAATCTGACTCAGACGTTGGATGCTGCCAGCCTGCGAATACTCAGGCCTAACATTTAGCACTGGCCTGTGCGGCTTCGATGTGCTGCACTTCGCCACCTCCTCACGCAAGCAGCTGAGTTGTGACAAATTAGCTGCCGCGTCCAGAGCTGCATTTGGCTTCTTTCTCCCAAAGGTCTCGCACTATCACCTCCCCCTGTTGACAGACGAGAGCAGCGAGATCGGATCTAAAGGGACGCTATATTCTGCAAAGCTAAGAAATACGTAGGTAGACGCCCAAGATCTCTGGTCCACTACCGTCATCATTCGAACATCCCGCATCTGCACATGCTCGCTTGTGGCCGAAGAGCTAGCTTTCCTTTCATACTACTGAGACAGCAAAAGTAACACGAGCTCAGAGCACTCGCGAAAAGACGGGTGCTTCCTCGAGGACTGTTCTGTACTGCGTACCTGGGACTGTAAGTGGGCCTGATTATGCCATGTCTGCATGGTGGAATGGAGTCTGGGTTCAGGGCTCCCGTCTGGCCAAACAAGGAAAGAGGATATGCGTCTCCCTGCACCACGTGCTTCCGTTCCCAGCTGGTCAACTATTCTGGATTGGCAGCGACGTGCTATGATGACAGGCTCTAATTACGACTCAACAATCATCACGTGCTATAGTGCGTTAAGGAGTATCTCGTGCCGTCATGTACGGGACTCTGGATGTATGTACGTTTGCTGTTTGCTTTGAGTGAGCCCACGGGCGCAGGCGTTGCCATGTGGCCCGGCAAAGGAGCCGGCAACGGTCCTGCTTCACGTGGCGCCGGCTTGCAGGGCCGGCGAGCCAGCCCCATCTCCACGCGCACGACTCGACCGCTCGCTTCGTTCCACCAAACAATTATCTCACTGGCGCGCGGCTCCGTGAACCTGCACAAACTCTTAGCTCACTCGGGCCCGGACCATAGCCCTCCGCAGCCTTTCGCATCGGTCCGCTATTGCCGCATTGTCTGGAGAAGCTTACATGCAATGCCATCTTACCACTCGACGCATCGACTTTCCTCGGCTAGCGGACAGGGAGACCGCCAGCAAGGAGTCTCCAGGGCCATGGTACGACTGCAGCCGCGCTGACCAGCTTCTCTTTCCGCCGTCGAGCTTTGTTTCATGCGCCTTCGCCCTGCATCAGATATTCATCATGACCTCTATATTAAGAAATTCAGCCTGCTTCGAGCCTCCTTGAGGCAAAAGACCGGTTAATCGCCCGCCGTTGATGCTCACCACGCCATAGTGCTCATCAATTAGATGCGTGATACCTGGCCCAGGTACAACGCACGTCTTAACGCCTTTCGGCGTATGCTGTTTCGAGCACTTCCCGTGTGGTCCGCGCCGCATGTCATGCACTACTTAAAGCACACGACCGGCGTGACCGACCTTTTGGAAGCCACTCTGTGTCCTGCCGGCTGTTCTGCCATCACACGCCTTTGTGTAGCATCTGACGCCGGCTTGTTCTCTGTCGCATCCCTTGTTTTTGTCCTGCCAGCGGTCCTGCCACTCGTCCCACTATGGCCGATACTGCGGTCTTGCCGCGTGCTACGGAACCAGCACTGGGTAATGGCCCAGCTGCACTGAAGTTGGCGCTACACGACACCACCGAAGTCCCGTCCTCTATTTCGCATAACTCAACCGAGCACGACTCCAAATCACACCAAGAGGTCTCGAGCTTTGAAATCAAAGGCATCAATCAACCAGACAAATTGGCCCGAGACTTGGCGGCAAAGCTTCCGCTCAAGGAACAAGTGAGCACATATGCCACGAAACTCAACGGTAGAGAGGCGCTAAAGTCCGCAATTCTAGGTCTCCCTCTTGGCAGGATCTGATTTTTGGCGCACTGTTGCCCTGCCCCACCGAGGCGTACCGTCAATCAAGACTACAGATGGCCCCAACGGTGCTCGAGGACAGTGGTTCAAGAATGGAACTCCGGTTTGTCTAGTTTCCTCGTTTTGGGCATGCATCTAACAAGCATCAGGCTGCCTTGTTTCCATGCGGCATCTCTCTTGCCGCTACCTGGAACCTGGATTTGCTGGAAGAGGTGGGGAAGCACCTCGGCGACGAGACCAAAGCCCGAGGCGCCGATGTCCTGCTGGCTCCCACTGTGTGCTTGCACAGGTCACCGCTTGGAGGCCGGAACTTCGAATCCTTCTCTGAGGACCCATTCCTGACGGGAAAGCTTGCTGCCGCCTATATCCGCGGTCTGCAGAGTAAGAAGGTCGCGGCCACCATAAAGCATTTCGTCGGCAATGAACAGGAGACGCTGCGCATGACAATTGATTCCATCGTTGCCGAGAGACCTCTGAGAGAACTTTACCTGAAGCCTTTCGAGATCGCCATCCGGGAAGCGTCACCCTGGTCCCTAATGAGCTCCTACAATCTTGTCAACGGGGTTCATGCCGACATGCATCCACGTACTCTGAAGAAAATCCTTCGTGACGAGTGGAATTACGACGGGTGAGTAAGATTTCATCTGCCATAGAGCGACATATGGATCAGTGGCTGACTCTGATAGAATGGTCATGTCCGATTGGACGGGTACCAACTCCGTTGCGGAGGCCATTGCGGCGGGTTGCGCCTTGGAAATGCCTGGCCCAACGAAGTGGCGTGGCGAGAAGGCGGTGCGCGCGGTGGAGAAGGGTGAACTGGCTGCCGAAGACGTTGAGCGGGCTGCCGGGGACGTGCTCTATCTCATCCAGAGAACGAAGGGTTTCAACAATGACGCCCCGGAACCAGAAGAACGGGCGAACGACAATGCCGCTACCCGGCAGGTGATACGTCAGGCGGGCACTGAGGGTCTGACGTTGCTGAAGAACGAACGTAACATTCTCCCCATCGGACCTGTGAAAAAGATTGCAGTTATTGGGCCGAACGCGAAGCGCGCAATTGCCGGAGGTGGCGGCAGTGCAAGCCTCAACCCTTATTACACGACGACGCCATTCGACGGACTTGCTAACCAGTTTGACGGAGAGTTAATCTATTCTCGTGGCTGCGATACGGCCAAATGGCTCCCGCTCGCATCCCCGTTCTGCACCACACAGGATGGAAAGCCGGGTGTTACACTCGAATACTATTGCCATGACCGCTTCGAAGGAGTTCCGGCCTCGGTGCAGCACAAGTCCAATACCGACCTGTTCCTATGGGATTCAGCGCCAAAAACGGTCTTGCCGGCGTACTCGTTCAAGGTCAAGACGGCCCTGATTCCAAAGACGTCGGGTTCCCACACCTTCAGTTTCTCCAGTGTCGGACCGGGGAGACTATTTTTGAACGGCGAGCTATTCATCGACAACTGGGATTGGGTAGAAGAGGGTGAGGCTATGTTCGAGGCTTCCGAGGATGTCCTCAAGTCTGTGTACCTGGAGGCCGGCAAACCTGTCCAGATCCTTGTTGAGAGCACTAATGAAGTGCGGCCGGCCTCAAAGATTACTCACGGCAAGCCAACACACGCCTACGGCGGGTGCCGCATTGGGTATGAAGAGGAATCAGGAGTCGACCTCCTCCAAGAGGCGGTGGATGCGGCAAAAGAAGCCGATGCCGCGGTCGTCTTTGTTGGTCTGGACGCAGAATGGGAGTCGGAGGGCTATGATCGTCAGACGATGGATCTGCCTAAACATGGAAGCCAAGATCGCCTTGTCGAAGCCGTACTTGCAGCAAATCCAAGCACGATCGTCGTCAACCAGTCGGGTACGCCAGTCACCATGCCATGGGCCGACAAGGTACCTGCGATTCTCCAGGCGTGGTACCAGGGGCAGGAAGCTGGCAATGCTCTTGCAGACGTTCTCTTGGGCCGCTTGAGCCCTGGAGGCAAGCTCCCCACGACCTTCCCTAAACGGCTGTCAGACAACCCGGCGTACCACAATTGGCCAGGCGAGAACGCCAAAGTTGTCTACGGTGAGGGTATCTTCATCGGATATCGGCACTACGAGCGCTCCGGCATCGAGCCGTTGTTCCCTTTCGGCCACGGTCTATCCTACACGACTTTCTCGTACGGCAGCGCAGCCATCAGTGACCGGACGCTTGAACAGGACGGATCCGTGAAGGTCACCGTGCCGGTTACGAACACGGGCAGCGTTGCAGCAGCCGAAGTCGTGCAGGGCTATATAAAGGACGTTAGGTCAAGACTGCCGCGCCCGGAGAAGGAGTTGCAGGCGTTCGGCAAGGCGTTTCTTCAGCCCGGAGAGACGAAGAACGTGGAGCTCGTGTTCGACAAGCACTCGGTCGGGTACTACGACACTTCTTTGGGATCGTACATTGCCGAGGAGGGCCGTTTTGAGGTTCTCGTTGGGTCCTCGTCTGCAGACATCCGGTGAGAGCCACGACATGATCGAGTTCGCCATCTGACCAAAAGCTAATCTATCGATAGGTGTTCAACTTCGTTCGATGTGCTTGAGTCGTTCACTTGGGTGTTCTGAAAGGAGAGAGAGAGCAGAAGAGAAGAGAAAGTCCCCAGCTCGTATAGAGACCAGATCTTAAATGTGGATGCCTTAGATTCAAGGCACTAAGATGAGGGGGAGACTGCTGCACCGGCCAGATGGCCCTGGCTGCCGCCTGGTTTTTATTTTATTTTTCCATTAGTCTTTAGAAACGGCCAGATCCAATGTGTGTACGAATTCGAATTGCAGAAATTTTCGCGTGGTCATCTGCCCGTCGGCATCTCGATGCTGGGCGCATGACGGAGACCCGGACTGCAGTGTACGATGATGCCTTAAGCATGCAGCTGTCAAGGGCAGGCACGCGCCTCGCTTACACGCAGTGGTGTGCCCTTTCGGTGCAAGCGCGTGGAGAGGGGAAAACGTAGGCCCGGCCGCCATCGGAGTTTCCTCGCCCGGCCGCGCGCTACTGAACCGGGGGAGGATGCGCGACTCTTTCGACAAGCTTGTCCATCACTCCCAGTCCTCCACGGTCTGTCCTCAGTAGTCAGAGCGCTGGCCTCTCGCGCATGTCTGCGGCGCGCTAGTCATCTCCTTCTGGCTTTCCATTTTTCCACTCGATACCCCTCCCGCCGCAGCTTTCAGCGAACCATTGCCAAAGCCAGCTGTTGTGCACAACCTCTGGCTTGCCGAGCTCTAAGCCGCAGCCTTCGCTATCTCCGCCCCGCAGCGCCCATCGAGCCCCAGGTCAGGGAGCATATGTCCTTCGCGAGCTGATCCTCGGGGGATTCGTCGCATCGAGTCCCATTCCGCCGACCGCGTACTCCGCCCGTCGGCGTCCCAAACCAGAGCACCCTACTCCCGCCGCAGCGGGCTGTCACCATGAATCCAGCAAATCGCGAGGGCTGGCCTCCGTCGCAGGGCCCGCAGGGTGGAAGTGCCTCACAAAATAATGATCAGACACAGGCGCAAGCCTCTCGTCCGATAGCTGGGTATGGGTAAGTCTGTCTCTGGGTTTGGCGCGCTCACTGCGACCTGCCGGCGCGTTGTGTGGAGTGTTTTCGCAGAGTCGGAGCTCTGTCCGAGCCTCCATGGAACCGCCGGGTTGACGTCTATCCTGGACATGCGCGTGCTGATCCGTGTCTTTGCAGGTCGAGTGCTGCTGGCTCGCAGCAACCTCCGCCCCAGCAGTCCGCCCAGGGGAACGGCCCTGTGCTTCCTCCACCAAGCGGTATGTGGGCTGTACATGCACAGATAGATCACTGTGTATCCATGGGCATGCACACGGGCTGACCCAATCACCTGCAGCACCTTTTTTTTCTCCAAACCAACCTTCAAGTCACAGTCTGCCCGGAATTGCGGGGTTAAACCAATCTTCCCAGGCTCCAAATGCGCAGGCTTCCCAACGAGGTGCATCGGCAGGTCAAGAACCAGCAGGGGGACCCCAGGCGCATCAAACAGCGGCACATGGTGGCCCCGGATATTCCCTGCCGGGGATCAGCCAAGCAATGCAATCGCAACAGCTCGGACAAACACAACAAGGAAATAATGATCGTGATAGGGAGATGCGGGACGACAGGCATGCGGAAGATCTCGCAATGCAGGCCGAACAGCGGGAGCGCGAAATGAGAGAACGGCAGCAGATCGAGCAGGCGCCGCATGAGAACCACGCTGGCGCGATACATCTGCACCAGCCCGTGGCCGTTGGCCCACAGTCTCGCGTCATACACGGCCCGAACGGTATTTTGGGTAACTCCACGCAGATGGGTCCGAGCTCCATGTCCCAGCCACCCGCGAGCATATTCACGTCTGGATCGGGCCAGCAGCAGAGCGAGGGTGCCCGTTTGCAACAGCACCCCGCGCAGGCCCCGCAGCAGCAGCAGCAGCAGCAACAACAACAGCAGCAGCAGCAGCAACAGCAACAGCAACAGCAACAGCAACAGCAACAGCAGCAACAACAGCAGCAACAACAGCAGCAACAGCAGCAACAGCAGCAACAGCAGCAACAGCAACAGCAAGGTCTCATGGTCCCATTTGGGGGCCCCCAGGGCATGCAGCAGTCCTTGGCTATGGGCCAAGGACAGCAGCCTATACTTAATGTAAGCGATCATTTGTTTGCTACGAAAGCGAATGACGGGTACTGACACTGTATCCTAGGATGCACTGAGTTACCTAGATCAGGTAAAAGTGCAGTTTTCTGAACATCCCGATGTCTATAATAAATTCCTCGACATTATGAAAGATTTCAAGAGTGGAGCGTAGGTTCTTTTGTGATCTCATCCATATTGATAGCAACGTCAGCTCTAACACCGATCCTAGTATTGATACTCCTGGCGTCATTGATCGAGTGTCATCGCTCTTTGCAGGACATCCCAACCTCATCCAGGGTTTCAACACTTTTCTTCCTCCCGGATATAAGATCGAGTGCGGAACTGGTGGAGATCCAAATGCGATCAGAGTCACGACGCCGATGGGCACAACTGTTCAGTCCATGCCGGTGCCCCGTCCGTTGTCGAACCCTCGCAGTGTGCCTGTTAATGGCGATGGACCAGGCGCCTCTGAGAGACAGTTCTACGAAGCGACTTCCCGCGGACCCGGAGCTAATTGGCCACAACAACAGCAACAGCAGCAGCAGCAACCAAGCGCTGGCCCTGAGAATGCCTACAGCCCAAGCCGTCCGGTTGTCCAGCCGCATTTCGCGCCTCAGCAAGGACAAGGTCATCAGGCGCCGATCTCTCCGGAACATGCTAGAGCAGAGCAAATCACAGCCGCCGCGCTCGCGCATCAGCAAGAACAGAGGGGTGTGTCCCAACTCAGCAATGCCGTTTCAGCTGCCACTGGTGGTTTGTTGAACAGGCCTGATCTGATTTCTCCTCCAGGTGGAGCTCCGAACCAATTGCCCGCGCAAGCTCTGAACGGCGTTAGCCACTTGGCCCAGCAAGGCGCCGCCGCACAGGCCGGACTGGACAAGAGAGGCCCCGTTGAGTTCAACCATGCCATCAGTTACGTCAATAAGATCAAGGTAAGACGTCTGCGGCGGCGAGGTTAGGCATCGGCTAAGAACTCTCGCAGAACCGCTTCGCAACCCAGCCCGACATCTACAAGCAGTTCCTAGAGATTTTGCAGACGTATCAGCGTGAGTCCAAGCCGATCCAGGATGTTTACGCACAAGTGACGCAGCTTTTCAACTCTGCACCCGATTTGCTCGAGGACTTCAAGCAGTTCCTTCCTGAGTCTGCAGCTCAGCACAGAGCCGCGCAGGCCAGACAGGCTGCTGAAGAACAGTTCATGTTCAGCAACGTGCGCGGTGAGCCTGCGAGTACCCCTCAGATGCATCACACCCCGAGGAACGAGCAGGGCTCTGGTCGCCTCCCGCCGGTCGGCAACTTTGCGCCAACACCTAGTGCTAGCCGCGACAACAAGAGGAAGCGGGGTGAAAGGCAGGGCACAGTTGCTAGCTCGACTGCCATGGCTGCGTCGATACCGACCGAGGTGCCCGGTGCGGGGCAGAGGAGTGTATTTGCCCAGACTGGGAACATCGCGAAGGTGAGTTGAAAAGTTGATACAGGCGGTCCAACTGAGTGAGCCACATCACGTGTCCACGAGTCACCCTTCAAACCCTTCCCGCGTCCACTTTTGACAGGGCGTTGTCCATTAACCCTTATTTCCAATCTCCCAACTCCCTTCCCTCCCCGCAAAACTCCAAACCCACCATACAGCGTCACCCGAAAACACTCAACCTCAAATTCGGAATTGCCGTATCATTGCCCGAATTCGCCGACTAACGAATCTCAACCAGCGCGCGAAACAGCAGCACGGTGCGAAGTCGGCAGCCATGCCCGACGCCACTCCGGTCTCACCTACACTGACACCCGCTATACCCGAGCCCATGGCACCTACGACTTCCATGTCGGCCACTGCCGAAGAGCTGGCGTGGTTTGACCGTGTGAAGAAGTACATCGGCAACAAGAACACCATGAACGAGTTCCTCAAACTCTGCAACCTGTTCTCGATGGACCTGATTGACAAGTCCCTGCTTCTCCATCGCGTTCACCAGTTCATCGGCGGGAACCCAGAGCTCATGGGCTGGTTCAGGAAATTCCTTGGATTCGACGGCAAGGAAGAGTCTCTGGAGAATCAGCCCAAGCCGCCGACTGGGCGCGTCGCTCTTTCGAATTGCCGCGGTCTTGGCCCCAGCTACCGCCAGCTGCCGCGCGCTGAGAAGATGCGCCGCTGCAGTGGTCGCGACGAGCTTTGTCACTCGGTTCTGAATGACGAGTGGGCCTCTCACCCAACCTGGGCATCCGAGGACAGTGGCTTCGTCGCCCATCGCAAGAACCAGTATGAGGAGGGCCTACACCGCATTGAGGAGGAGCGCCACGACTACGACCACACGATCGAGGCCTGTATCCGCACCATTCAACAGCTTGAGCCCATCGCCCAGCAGCTGCTCAACGCCACTCCAGAGGAGAGGATGCAGTTCACGCTTCCCACCAACCTCGGCGGCCAGAGTGAGACTATCTACAAGCGCGTCATCTACAAGATCTACAACCGCGAACGCGGCAATCAGGTCATCGAGCAGCTTTTCTCGACGCCTTACACGGTCATTCCGGTATTGCTGAACCGGATGAAGCAGAAGCAGGAGGAGTGGAAGGCGGCTCAGCGTGAGTGGGAGAAGGTCTGGCGCGAGCAGACGCAGAGGATTTTCTGGAAGTCCCTCGACCACCAGAGTGCAAGCGCCAAGGCCGCAGACAAGCGTCAGTTCCAGGCCAAGACTTTGCAAAACGAGATCCAGGTCAAGTATGAGGAGCAGAAGCGCCAGCGCGACATGCAGGGTCTCGTTGTGTCCAAGCACCAGTTCGAGTACAGCTTTACCAACACCGAGGTCCTCCTGGATGCCTCCAAGCTTCTGCTGCTGCATGCGGAGCACGGAAACTCGACCGACTCGCACAGGCTTTATGGTTTCATCAAGGAGTTCGTCCCGCTCTTCTTCGGGCTTAGTGCCTCGAAGTTTGAACGCGAGATCGGTTCGCCCCAGGCCGAGTCCACTGACGATGAGATGGGCGGCATGGATGACGGTTCCCGGAAATCGCTCAAGGTCAATGGCAAGAAGGATGATCTTCGCCGCGGTGTTCTTGACCCTAGCCGCAGTGGGAGAACTTCGCGCAAGGACGCGGATGAGAGCAACGCATCCGGCAGCCGTGGTAGCACACCTGAGGCAGGTTCAGCGGCCGACGAAGAAATGGTTGAAGACGGAGACGTCACCACTTCGGTGCCGAAGGACACTACGGCGGATAGGTGGCTTGAACATCCTGCCGGCGGCAACAACCTCGACATCCAGGACATCGCGCCTGATGGGCCTTACAAGCGGGACACGTACAACATGTACTGCAATCTCCCGATCTACTGCTTCTTCCGCATGTTCGTCATTCTCTACGAACGTCTCTCGCATCTCAAGCAGAATGAGGAGCATGTCCATCAGCTCGTCGCGCGGGCCCAGCACGCCAAGCCCGCTCTCGACCTCAACCTCATCGACAAGCGTCCCGAGGATTTCTTCCGCGATACTTCACCAAAGGCAAACTACTATGAGCAAGTGCTCGAAATGTTCATGGACCAGATCCGTGGTGAGATCGAGATGCCCCAGATCGAGGAAACACTCAGGCGCTACTACCTGCAGAGCGGTTGGCAGCTGTACTCTTTCGACAAGCTGTTGAGCTCGCTTGTTAGGTTTGCCTTCGCTCTTCTAAGCAGCGACGCTAAGGACAAGACTTGGGATATTTACCAGCTCTTCCGCAAGGATCGCCAGCAAGAGGAGACGACTCACGATGCAGAGCTCAACTACCGGAGGACAGTTGAGAAGTACTCCAAGGACGGAGACGTCTACAAGATTTCTTTCGTAAGTTGCTTGCTTGAGGAAAACCCTGGCCGACAAATCACTAACGCATACCAGGACCAGTCACGTTCGGTCGCGCGCGTGATGATTTTCAAGAGGGAGGAGCCTACATTCGACACCAGGCAGACCAGCCAGGAGCAGAACTGGCGCGCGTACCTTTCTTCCTTCACCCGCATCAGCGCAACTGAAGGCGTTCCAGCTGAGAAAGTTAGGATACCCTTCATGAAGCGCGACGCGCCCGTAGACGACGACGAGCAGGCCGAGTCATCGCAAGACGTCAAGAGCGAGGAGTCCTTGACCATTCGCATCGCGCTCGAGAAATTCACCATGGTTTTCGAGCCTCCCACGAGCGAGTACCTGCTCAAGAGCGACCGGGTGCGTTCGGGTGGCAAGGACGGCGTGGCCGAGGCGGAGCAGGAGCGTGAGAATCGCGTCAGCTTGGCCAAGGAGAAGATCGTCATGAACAACGCGTGGATGAGGGACCTTAGCAAAGACGTCGTCGACGGCCGCAAGCAGAAGTTCCAGCGGACGGTTGCCGAGGGCGCCAACGCGCGAGCACCCAGCGTTGCGGCTGCGGCTGCTGCGCCGACGGAGGAGAAGGCGGCCGCGACGGGCGGCGAGCAAGACACGGAAATGGAAGGGGTGTGATCGGAGAAGGGGGTAGTATTCTATTGGAGCTTCGGTGGGGAGTGGGAGCATAGTTACATGGCCTACATGCATGCATGGGGTTGCGAATCACGAACAAGGTTGCGGCTGGGATGAGGGATGGAACAAAGGGCGTGGTGGGCGTTAGCGAGCGATTTCGATCTCACACATGGCGCGATTGATGTCCTTGAACGACAACCTTTTTTTTTCTCTCTTCATTGTCCTTTTCACCATAGCTTGTGTTGTGTTACTCTTGAACTTTTGACGCGGATGGAATGGATTGGCAAAGTGTTTTTTTTTCCCTTGTACTATCTTTCGTTGGCTATCGATTCTACCCTATCTTTGATGTCTTGTTATGACTGATGATGCATAGTGATGGTGGTTACTTAAGGATGGATCTGATGAAGCTTTCCAAATATACCTAACAGACAATGTTTCTGTCGTCTTTACTCTTCGGTTGACTTCTGATTTTCCAATGCCTTACATTGTTTGCCCTTCCTCATTCGAGGTGTCCACTGGTGCACACTCGAGAAGTTTTCCTCCCGTGGCCAAGTGAGGTAGCGTTTAGCGTCTCAGTGCATTGGTTCATCGCAGGCAAAGACAGCAGCGTAAAGAGATGTATTAGTACTACGTTCATGAAATGAACTTGAATAATGCCTAGCGTCACGATGGTGGAGGTGCCCGGTGGTGAGCCGCCGCGCCTTCCTCTTTCCTTGCTGGTTACGTCACGCGTCTGCGTGAAGGCCTCACTATTCCACAGATACGGCAGGAGCCTACTACCACCCATCTCCCGGCCCTCTCTCATGAGTCACACTTCTCTCAAACATCTCCGAGTCAAAACCCCCTCTTACCTCTTACTTTTTCCTGCGAACAGGGTAGTCAGGCATTCCATACCGACAAAGACCACCACACCCCATTACCGTCCTCAAAATCTCACACACGCGCCGCACGAGCCAAAAGCCTAGAAGAAGAAAAAAGCTTCCCTCACCATGCCCGTCCCCTCCGCTGCCACCGCAAACGCCGACGACGACGACGACGAAGCAACCAGCCATCACCCCCACCACCACCACCACTCCTCCGCACCGCCGCCACCACGGCCACCACCACCCTCGCCAGGCACTCGCAACAGCACCACCGCGCCCCCTCCACCCCCACCACTCCCTCCCCATCCCTCATCAACCACGTCTTCATCAACATCCATCCGGCCCCTCCCGCCGCAAACCGCCCGCGCCCTCCGCTCGTCCCTCACCATCGTCGACCCGGCCTCGGCCGTCAAAGAGCTCGTCGACAACGCGCTCGACGCGGGCGCCACGTCCGTCGGCGTCGAGGTCTCGGGCGGCGGCACCGGCGCCGCGGGGCTCGACCTGGTCGTCGTGCGGGACAATGGCCGCTCGGTGCCGCCGGTGGGCGAGGATAGGGTGTTGCTTGGGAGGAGGCATTGTACGAGTAAGGTGAGGTGGGGGGCTGGGTGTGCTGGGGAGATGCAGATGGTGGGGGGGTTGGGGGAGGGAGGTGGTGGTACGAGTGGTGGTGCTGGTGGTGGTGGTTCTGGTGGGAATCCGGCGGTGCTTGGGTTTAGGGGGGAGGCGTTGGCGAGTTTGGTGGAGGTGTGCGAGAAGGTGGAGGTGACGGTGAGGTGTGAGGGGGAGAGGGTGGGGGAGGTGTTGAGGTTGGGGAGGGAGGGGGAGGATCTGCAGGGCGTGGCGCCGAGGAAGGTTGGGGCGCCGGTCGGGACGACGGTCAGGGCGGAGGGGTTCTTTGAGAGGTGGCCTGTGAGGAGGCAGGCGGCACTGAAGGAGGCGGAGAAGGGTGGTGGTGGGGGCGGGGTGATGAGGAGGATCAAGGGGCTGTTGCAGGGATACGCGCTCGCGAGGCCGGCTGTTAGGTTGTCGTTGAAGGTGGTGAAGGGAAGGGGGATTAAGAACGGGAAGGAGGGAGGGTGGACTTATGCGCCGAAGCCGGGGTTGGGGCTGGGTGGTGGGCGGGAGAGGGTGGCGGATGCGGTGTTGAAGGTCGTCGGGAAGGGCGCAGCGGCGCAATGCATATATGCTGCCCAGGAGCTGAACGGATACCGGTTTGAGGCTTTCCTACCAAGGGCGGACGCGGAAGGCAAGGAAATTTCCGGACTTGGCCAGTTTCTTTCTGTCGACGCGAGACCGGTTTCCACAGCTCGTGGAACCCTGAGCTTGATCGCAAAGGCTTTCAGGGACAGGCTGAAGAAGGCCAACCCAGCTCTGGAGAACGTGAAGGAACCTTTCCTGAGATTGGATATTGGGTGTCCGCCTGGTAGCTACGATCCGAATGTGGAGCCGTCAAAGAGCGACTTACTGTTCGATGAACCCAAGGCTGTGCTCAGTGCCCTGGAGGACTTCCTGGACATTTTCTACTCATCGGCTGGTCCGCAAATGGAAACAGCTAAAATACACGAATCCAAAGTTCCGACGCAGCGAGAGATATCCCTGGTTGAGGATACAGTCACAGCGCCTGATTCAGAAGCTCAGAAGAGTGACGACGATGTGACGACGTACAGTGACATATTTGATGAATTTGTCATGATCCCGGCCACGGATGTGGCCCATCCGCCCGCTTCTTCGGACTCTATCGCCGCTACTCTTCGCAGTAATACGGAGATGGAAGATGTTGAGGATCCACGGCCAAAGCGAAGGCGCACATGGAAGTCCAACATGTACGATTTTGATGAAGATGATGTTCTCGTTGACGATGGCAATGGAGATGCACAAGGCAATCCGGACGTGGACCTTGCAGATGAGGACACTGAAGAGGCTATGGGCCATGTCACTGTGTCCAATCCATGGACAATGGCGAAGATGAACGCCAAGATCCCAAAACCGAGCGTGGCAAGCAGTCCAGAGGTCGCTCACATGCGGAAGCAGAATACGGAGCCTCAGCTTGAGCTACCGACAAGCACACCTCCCGAATCTCGTATCTCACTTGGTGGAGCTTATCTGCCAACACCGCAGGCATCGTCTCCCAACTACGGCCAAAGTGCCAGTGTGGCCCGTTGCGGAGGCTTTGGTGGAACGAACTTGACACAAAGTCCGGCCACTCCGAGTGCAACCTTCGCTAAATCCCCTAACAGTCACCTACCGTTTCCACAGAACTCTTCTCGTCAAGTCGACGATGATGGATTCGTTCCTGTGCCGCCACAACCAGTGGGTGGTGGAACTGTTAACTCGGCTAAGACAGCGACTCCGAAGAGGTCACGTCTTGGAGGTCCTGGAAATGCACGGTCTGGCCGTAGAGGAATCAACAAGCCGTTCAAACCTCCGATCAACCCCGAAAGAGACAGCTGGTTCTCATATACGCCATCACAGCGACCAAAAAGATCAACAGTGTTTCTAAGGAAGAACAAAATTCCTGCAGCAGGTGGGGATGACGCGCGTAATGAGTATGTGATGAGCGGTGGGGCAGATGGTGGTGGATTATCCGACGGTCACGATCGTGATATTCGGCATTGGATGGCCTCAAACACCACACGTGTCGGTAGGACGCAGTCTGATAACGGACCAGGCATTCACGAAGATGCTGCATCTATTCAAGACAGTAGTGTCGCCTCTGAAGAGACTCGCCCAGCCCTCCAGCAGAGATTGCCGGCAACCCCAGAGGAGCTTCGTATCCGCAACTTTGATTTCAACATGAAAGCGCCTGCACCGTTCCCGCGTATCACGCAGAGTAGACTCACAGTGCAGAACCGACCGTCAGCAACGTCCCAGAGGGACGAAACGGAAGAGCACACACGGCAGGAGACAGCTGACACCGCTGCCACCGCCCAGCCACTCCGTCGTAGCTTTCGTCGCCATGCAGCAGCCCGGCCGCCCCCTATCGTTGAGAAAGCTCTCTATGCTAACGAAGAAATCGCCAAACAGCCTCTGCAGTCTCATCCACAGCTTGGCCAGTCTGAACGCCAGCAGCAGCAACACTCCGGCACCGGCACCGGCTTGGTTCCTCTACGCCGTCTCTCCACTCGTCAGCAATCCCGTCGTCGCACAACATCCAGCTTGCCGCTCGAGCGCGTGCCCGACGGAGCTCAGATGCAGAATGTAGCGCTCATCATTCTCTCTTCGGCCGCCGCGGCGCTTTCTACCAAAAGGACCACCTATTCAGCGCTGCAGGAAGATGATGTCGCTCTGTCGTGGGGCGCTAGTGGGGATCTAAAATCTCCGTTTGCCAAAGCCGGTGACGACGATGTGACGGCCTATACAGCGGTTGTGCAGAGCTGGGCCGATCGACTTGGGAATTTGCTGATGCGGTTCAGGCTTGATGGTGTCGAAGGTCATGGTGTGGAGTTGCGGCAGGATTTGAGCTTTGTGCTCATGGATGCAGTGGAGCGGTACAGGAGGGGGCAAGTCATGATGGAGGCTTCGTGAAGGATAGTGGTGTGAGAGGTGGGTTTGCAAACTTACGTCCGGTACGGCATGTTTTGTGGGAGATCTGTCGGTTGAGTTGCTGAAATATGGCTGTTTCATGTGGATTCCAAGGATATTGCTGAATTTCAAAAACAAAAGGGATTGGCTGGCTCTGGTGAGTGAGGCAGATCGGTGGAGTGGCCACTTAGCTTCAGAGGGTGATAACAGGTTGCTTAGGTCTCGTTCTTGGCTGTGCTTTAGCTGTTTGATTACTTGCTTGAACCACTGAATGCCATCGAAAGACCACAACACATATGAGTTACGGAGGGTAGGCAGGCCAGCGAGAATGACTCAAGTGTGTGGCATGTGCGGCCGTCGTGACTACGGTACCGGACAGTTCGCTACCACTATCATCACCGCACCCACGCAAGCAAGCAAAACATTTCGCAGTTCGAGAACTTCGAAAACAATAACCAAGAAGAAAGGGATACTTAAACAGAGAAGAAGTAAGCGGTCAAGGAAAAAAGGAGCGTTGGGCAAAAAGGCAAAACTACATGCTCCGCCGGAGCGGAGCACGCAGAAATCCCAGTCAACAGGCTCTGTCCGTTGAGCCCTCTAGAATTTTTTGCGATTTGCCAGTGTGTACGGGAGTCGAACGCAGACAATTGGATTGCCAGTGAGTCGAATCGCCGACGCCCACACCCCGGCTAAGCCGGACTGTAGACGCCGGCGATAATATGGGGAGTGCTGAGACGATTCATATAGGGGTATGTGAAATAGGTTGGCAACGACGCTCCCTTCAACAAAAGTGCGTACAGAAACGAAGGCCGAAATCTAATATTTACAATTGAATAAGATGTTCTCTCCATACGTACCGGGAGCTTCTGATATCCAGAGGTACGGAACGTGGAAACCGGAAGAAAAGTAGCATTAAATCCGCCGCCGCAGCAGCAGATAAAAGAGGATGCCAATGAAAGAACAAAGAAAAGACCCAAGAATGACCTCCCGATCACTTTCCAGCTTCCAGAAAAGAGAGCGAGACCGCGTCTTCTCTTCCCTTTTTTTTCAACCGATCAGATCAGATCAGAATGAAAGAAGAAGAAATCCACGACGCTCGCTCGATCCGTCTCCGTCCGTCCCCCCCCCCTCCTCCCCTTTCATCTCCGGAGCTCATCTCATCTCATCTCATGCATCTCATCCACCTCACCAACAGCAGCTCAGCTCACCCCCCCTAAAAACCTCAAAACTGCTGCCCAAAGCAATCAATACTGCTCATCCGGTCGTTCCAGCCGATGGTGCGCAGGTCCGCGACGGACCAGTTGGGCCCGACGTCGCGGCTGCCGCCGCGGCAGTCGCGGTCGAGGTGCAGCCGGCACCGCCAGTTGCGCTCGACCACGTACACGGACGACACGCGGTCGTTCCACCACGCGTCCAGGTTGTAGCACAGCCCGTGCCGGAACGCCTGCTCGACGCACCGCCCGCCGCCGTTGGCGTGCTCGCAGTAGCGGACCTTTTTGTAGGCGTATTGGCGCTTGGTGAGGGGGTGTGCGGGCGGGTCGGTGAAGGGGTCGGTGGTGGTGTTGAGCGTGGTGGTTTCGATGTCGGTGGGGATGGCGCCGCCGGTGGAGGAAGGGAGGGCGGTGCTGGTGGTTGCGGCGAGGAGGATGGTGGCGAGGGTTGTGAGGGTTGTGAAGTGCATTTTGTCTTCTTCTTTTTTTTTTGTGGTTTTGTGTGGGGTTTGTTTCGTCTTTTTGGCTTGTTGGTTGGTTTTGAGGGAGTGGATGTGGTAAGCTTGGCTCAGAGTTGTCTGATGTCCTGGTAGAAAGGAGTGCTTGTTCGTTCAGCGGAGCGGAGCAGAAGGAGTTGTTGAGGAAAGGCATCTCGATTTATAAGTTCACGAGGTATCGCCATTTCTTGTCTCTATAGACGTGGTGGACAAAGAGTCTATTGATGGGTTGGGCTGGGTCGTTATTGAGGGTAGAGCCTATTGAGACCTGTATTGGGATCCTTGGCGTCCGCCATGTAGAGGCGCGAGTGACTTGAAGGTAACAAAAGCTGGCTATTGTTCTGAAAGCTTTGCGTCCTAGAGATTCGAGCTAGCTTAGTCTGGAATTGTTGTCAATGCTATGCCGTACAATAATGCTACAGGGCTCCAGAAATCCGCTCGTTCGTATGTACTGTACTTCAAAGTTACAACAACGGGAAAGTGGGGCAGGGGTATTCAATAAGATGCAAGCAGAAGATACATCGTCCCTCGACCTATGAGTTTAAGTTAAAGCAGACTCGTGTACAGATATTCGATATTCATTTACCACGCCGGTGTTTGGATGAAGTGCCCTCCGCGCCTAAAGAAAGCACAGTGCCCATGCTGTCGGCAGCCAAGCCCCAACAGCCAGGCATTTCCTTTGTATGTCGCCACCCTCGGGCGCCGTTATGCCGAAGCCTTGGGTTTCTTTGCCACATCGTAGTTAGTCACCGAAACTCCATCCAGGGTTTCAGGGACCCGAACCAAGAACCTGCGGTGTGTTGAGCAACAGAAGTGCATGTGAGAAGTCATGCTTGGCCTCCGTATCCCAAGCGGTGTAAGGTACCAAGGCACATTCACACGCCCAGCGTTTTGGGCCTGCGTAGATCTATTGCAGACGGATGTGGGGCACGGGAAGTAATATGGAGAAGTCCGCAGTATCTTGTGACATGCATGCTATTGAAAGTAGTCAGTTTGTGGCTATACAGCAGTGCAGTGAGTCATGTCAGTTTCATGCCTGATCATTCCACAAGTTGCTGTCGCTTCTACATGGGAGGGTTTTCGTGACTCTATAGTGATTGATGCGCTCCAGCCTGCTTCGCCTCCCCGCGCTGTCTGTCCACCTTTGCGGGCGTCAGGGTGTACTGCTCTCCGCGTCTCCTGCATCTTTGCTGGCTCTCACTGCTGTGCGAACGGAGAACGGAGAATTTACCCCACAGATTCACCGAGCTCTCCAGCATGTGGGTACTTGAGGGGACTTCCCGTTCGCTCCCAGCCACACCACTGAGCCGCTTTCTCGGACGAGCGGGAGCGGGGGAAAAGATATAGAGTGTCTCGCATACACAAACCCATGCTAACGAAGAAAGACAGGAAGGCAAGGATGTAGCCGCAATGCCTAGTGATTGCCTTTAGTTCTGCAAGTAGTTCACATCGCGATCGCAGTATCTATCCCCTGTAGCCTCTGTGGCCTGGGTAAATTCGTTCCAGCCCACCGGGGACCTACAGTACCAAGGTTCGAGCGCGGTGAAAGAGGGGCGCGAGGTTCGCTAAAAGGAAGGGACCGGCAAGGGTCCAACGGTAGGTTGGATCGGCAGCACACCTTGTATTTCCTCTTCTGCCGCCTCCTCTTTGTGGAAAAAGGTGGGCGAGGGTATATTGGAACACCGGCAGGGCTGACGCGGCATGGCGTGCTGCACCAAGGCCCCGTGAAGATTAGTGCAAGATAATCACGGGGTGGCATGACGGCGGAGGCGTATTAGATGAAGTGATGATTGGTGAAGTTGCGGGAACAGCGGGAGGCGAGTGGCTAGATGAGAAGACTCGGAGACGGCAAATGTGACAGTAATTTGGACGGGTTGGCGATGGGTGAGCAAGAGGGAATAGCGTGGCTGACGCGGGACAGCGCGGGTCGAACCGAGGAGCAGACGTCTAGCCCTGTTTGGGGGTTTGTATATGTCGACATGATACAGGAAAAGCTCAAAGGTCAACACGAGAAGCAGTTGCGTAACGTTCGTGTCTCGTTATCGGAGAGAAGGAGCCACCAACGAATGAAGACAGACGGGGTTTCCGCACATGTTGGCATACACAGTAATACCAAAGGGAAGGATGCCCACCCTGGAGCACCTTGGCGGTCACTTGCAAACCCCCAACACGGAGACGGTGAACAACGAGGGTCCAGTATGCTCCTCATGGGTGCCGATACCTCAGCCTCACCAGGCGTTCCGTGCTGAGTGAGAGGCAGATGCCCGTAGTGGTGTGCGGCGTGCGGCTGAAGGGTGGAGACTGCACGACGGAGGAAACAGCAGCGTCACATGCTGACGGACGCCTTGCTGTGACTGCTTGCGCCTAATCGGTATGCGTGATGTTGTTGCGTGAACACCCCACGTGTGGTGGCCGTTGCACCAAACTCAACAAGGCAGCCGGCAAAGGCAGGCCCACGGGCTGATGATGTGATGACCAGCCATATCGGAGATGGCGATTAGCTTTCTGGCCCAACTGTGGGGTTGGGTCAGGTTAACCGTTGGCAGGCAGGTTTCCCCGTGCCCTCGGCGGCGCCAGTCCCGCCCAGCCTTGATTTACGGCCGATTGCCCCAGCCTCCCGCGCCCGGGCGCGTCCGGGAGTGCACTGTGCGGTGCGTGAGGTGAGCGGCTTCCGGAAATAATACGCGGGTGATAGCTCCGTCCATGGGAAAGACAGGACCCTGGTGCATATTGTCCAGATTGCGGATTGGATTGCTGCACTTCGCAGCTGCCAGTAGGTAGCGCCAGCGCCCGCGCTCTGTTCCCAGCGCCCAATCCCGTCCCATGACGCACACGCGCATTACATATTAACCTGCGGGTGACGCCGTTGGGGGGCACAGCGAGGGTCAGGACGAGCATGGAGCTCGCGTGGCGGGCCACAGGGCGTGGAGAGGCAGCTGTGGCTCTCGGTAAATTGTCGTGGCGTCAAGCAAAACACCAGGCTCTGCCTCGCTCCGGCGTGTGGCTGGGCCAAGGAAATTGCCGCTTCATGCGTGGCCCGTCTGCTCTGCTCTCTCTCTTCTCAACCCTCGGTGCGTACCGGTAAGCGAGTCCGTGAGTCCGCGAGTCCGCGAGTTCGCGAGTCCGTGACGTACGACCCCGGGATTTGGGCGTGGCTGTCGCACCTGTCGCGCCGACTTGATTGCCACGGCCACTACTGGCACCTGGCGCCCGTGCAGACGGGGGCCGCAACGGCCGCATTTGGTGCGCGCGGAGCAGCAACCGGCAGAGCCCGTGAGCCCGTGAGCCCGTGAGCCCGTGAGCCCGTGAGCCCGCTCTCCAAAAGTCCATACCCACTCGCCTGCAGTGCCTTCGCCCCTTTGTTACAACCGCTCCGCGAGACACGAGCGGCCTTCGGCCCGCAGCCAATACCACTGCTCCCGGTGGAGCAGGAGCGGCCTCGAGCAATGGAACCGCGAAGATCAAAGGGACGCCGATCAGATCATGTTCCGATTGCCCGTTGCTGCTGCTGCCGGTGCCGGGTGTGGCGGCTGCTTCGGAATTATCGTCGGATACTGACCGTCTTCAGCCCGCCGTGTTACTATTAGGGGATGCCCAAGGGACCGAAACACGAATGCCAGTCTGCCGTATGTATGTGCTGCAACTCCATCCAGCAACGCCTCGGCTCGCCGTCGCTGTCATTGGCCCACGCGCCGCCGCCGCCCTCTGGGCTTACGACCCTCAACACCCAGCGGCTACTTCCATTGCGCATTTGCCGTCGCGGCCTTTTCGGGAAAGTCGGAAAAGCACGCCAGCCGCTCTTGGGGGCCAACCAGCAGACACGAAAAATGCCGCGAATATCGTGATGGTCTGCACCTTTTTCTCACACCGCTCTGGCTCGCAGCTCTTGGTCTTCAGTATTGAATAGATGAGCGGCAAGGCTCAGCGCCTTGTCCCTATTGGCGTTTAGCACCGCGGAGTGTGCTCCAGGTTCGCCGTCAGGCCAAGAGCCAGTTCTAGAGCAGCTGCTAGACATGGTGCCGCACTGCGCCGCTGCGGGACGTCTGCGCATCGCCTCTGCTTTCGGCATCGCGCCACAGACCGGCATCGAAGCGGGCGTGCGTGGGGACGTGGGCGAAGGAGCAGCTTTACGTTGCATCGAGACCGCAGATCCTGCGTGCCTGTTTCAATGCTCTTACGGAAAGATAATAAGCGATCGTCCAACTGCCTCCTGGCCCCCCTCTGTCCACGCCCTGTCGCCAGCCGGCCTGCTCCGGCCCTCCCCCATTCTGCTGGATCTGCGCGCCTCAAGTCTAGGTAGACTTGCACGGCGGTCAAGGGAGGGCCGCCTCTCAGGCGGCCCAGTGGCCAGACTGAACCACGCGCCAACGGACCCACAACCAACCCTGCAGCTCTCATCGGTGGAGTGCTCGTGGCCAGTTGCAGAAGCCCGTCGGTGGCAGCGCGTGGCCGTCGAGGTGCTGTGGGCTGTGGGTTGTGGGTTGTGGATTGTGGGTTGTGCATTGTGCATTGTGGGCTGCGGGCGAGAAGCAGCAGTTGCGTGAGACCGGTTCTTGCCGCGTGCTGTTTGGTGATTCATGAGAGTGGATGAAGTGAGCGTGAAACAAGTCATGTTGGCAGGTTCCGGCGATTCGACGGTGAGCAGGGAGCGGGAGCGGCGCAGTGGAGCTTGGAACCTGGGGGCAACCTCTTGTGGTGATCGGTCAATGCGCAGTAGGGGTGTTTTTCGTGGAAGCCCGCACTGTCGCAGAGCCCTCTACTCGGGTATCATTCTCCGGGCCACGGGCTCAGCTTTGGCCCCCGAGCCCTAATTACTTGCAGATGATCTGCTCGTCATGGATATTTTCCCAAGACGGTGTCCCTGCCATCACGGGAGGATTAGCTCACCCTCTCCAACGTGCCGCAGCCACCCGCGTAGCCGTCAGCAGTCAACGTCCGTATATTGCACAGAGGCTAACTGTTCGCAAGTCATAGCGCCGATGCCTTGTCAGAAGGAAAATCATGGGTGCGTGGCAATAGGCGCGACCGTGAGACCTAACTTTTCGCATTCGCCAAGGGAAAGCCTATAAGGCAACAGCAGCCGTTGCTATTTTCGTGGACCAGCACCGGCAAACCACTTTTGTTGCTCCCGATGCTGTCGTTGTCATTCATCCTGAGCGTACATCACAGGCCATCTCAATCGCTCGTTTACTCGCACGTGGAGAGCATCTTGCGGATCACGCCCATAAGCGTCCCGTTTTCCAGCGCAGCCGCCACCCGCTCCTTGTCGCCCAATTGCTTGTTCACAGCTTCGTCCGTGCTATGGGTGCCCTTCTTGATGCGCACGTCGACGCGGAATCGCGGTGGCAGCGCTTGCTCTAGGCGCACGCGCACGCCCAGGCCGATGACTGTCGCCAGCGAGCAATGCGTGATTGTGGGCGTGATCTCAACGAGGACTGTACTGATCGGCGAGCGTGGCGACGACGGGGGCAAGATCCGGATGTCAGGTAGATTGACGACGGCGAGCGAGCCCAGCGAAAGTGGGTGCTCGGGGTCGGAAATGGACGAGATCAGGTCTGCGTTGCGGTCAGCAAGCGGGGCACAAGGCGGGCAGCGGCGCGGCGCGGCGCGGCGCTCACCATATATTTCCTGCTCGTCGATGTCCTCGACCGACCCGTCGTCCGAGTCGTCCGACGATGGCGGCGCGTCGAACGGGTCGTTCAGGTAGCTATAGGGCGGGATGAGGTCGTCGAACAGGCCGACGCCGGCGCCCTCATGCTTCTTCACGGCCGACTCGCGGCGGCGCGAGGGGAGGTCGGAGGGGTTGAGGATGGTGGGGTTGGCGTTGTCCTTGTCGGGATCCATGTCGTCTGGCGTCTGACGCGGCGGGCGGGATGTGGACGATGCGGCGCCGGGTGTGGGGAGGCGTCACGATCGCAAGAGGTCGCAATTGCAGGATCCCGCAGCCGCGATGGCTTGTGTTCGCCGCCGCATCTACTTACGCATAGGTGCGTCACGAGCGGATCGGAGCCGGAACATCTGCCGCCGCCGCCGCCGCCGCCGCCTTCGCCGCCTTCGCCTGTGCCCGCGCTGTGCAGCTGCACTCTGCACTGCGTCTCGAGACGCCGGTGCCGGCCCACTCGCAGCAGATCGCACATCGCAGCAGACCTAGGTACCTAGGCACGCAGCAGAAATCCCCGAGGCCTCATCAGCGCGGCTGGTTCCGCCGCTGCGCTTTCCCAGCCCCGGCTCCCGCGCTGGATCTGCCCGTTTGGCGTGCCCCTCGCCGTCTTCACCACTCACGTCACCCGCGCAGCCGGTGGCCCCCTTTGCAATCTCTGTTATGCATAGCGCGTGGTCAGAAGACGTTTGATCGCATCAGCCCATGCGCGGACTAGTGCTTTGCCGCAGCGAGGGTTACTTCGTGGCTCCCCATATCGCCTGCCAGGCCTGCATGCAGACTAGTGCCTGATGCGGGACGTTGGAACGCACCAGCAGCCGGGCATCGCGCTCCACGAGCTGTCAAGCAGCGGCGCCACTGCAGCGCCGTTGCTTGGGAAGTGATTGACCGCTGCAGGTGGAGCCAATACCGCACCGCGCCAAGCCTGTCGCGCAGCGCTCTGGGCGCTGGCTGCTCGCCGGGCGCGCCTCTGCCAAATTGCTGCGTCTTTTGGCTGCCCACTGCTGGCCCGCTGCTGGCGCCCCCGCAAAATAACGTGCCTCCCACGCGCTACCCAGCCCCGGCGTGTTGCAGGCGGTAAGCGAGCAGCGCACGAGTCGGGCAAGATCGTCGATGGGTGAGGATCCCCTGCCGGCCAGGCACGCGGCCTCCGCCGAGCCTGGCGGACCCGGGGTGTTGGGATCCATCTCTTGTGCTACTTCGCGCCTTCACATGCGAAGGGAATCACCACCAGGAGTCGGACTGGCGATGAAGGATTCACCGGGAGCAGCCGATGCCCTTCATCACGCCGCGAGCTGTCAGGCGTCGGCCTGCTGCAACCCGCGCGCGCGCCGCGCGTTCCTGCCCGGCCGTGCCTCGAGCGACGGTTGCCGCCGTGGGTCCCGGGCCGGAAGTCTTCCAGAATGTCTGGCAAACCTTCTGGTGCCGGTTTCAGGCGTGTTTTGATGTGGGCGGCGGTGACGCGCGCGAGCCAGCTCTGCCGCCGCCGCCAGAAAGCGCCCGCCACACAGTGTGCAGCCAGGACGCGGTCATCATGTCGCGCGCGAGGCGCTGGACAGGCGACATCAGGATCATCGTCTATGTATGTACCTAGCACAAACAGTCGTCGCAACCGCCAGCGCCCACAGCCGCCGCCTGACCCTGTGACGGCTTATCCGACTGCCCACATACATAGCCGTTGCACGCCCGCCTTGCCGGAGCCGCCAGGGTCGCAGTGGCTGGAGCAAACAATCATCTCAACGAGATAGTGGCCTGCATGGCGCGGTTGCATGTCGCAGGATCCCACCGCCCGGGGTGCGGCCAATGCTGACGCTTTCCAAGCTCCCGGGAACCAGCCTGTTCAGGCAGTTTTATTGGCGTTCCTGCATCCGTGGCGCTGAAGGGCGATGATAGACGAGCCCGCGCTTCCATCGAGGCCGGAAGCTGCGCGGCCCGCACATGCTGCGGTCAGCAATCCATCCAGAGACCAAGCCGGCGAACAGACAGGCTTCCCGCCACGCCGCCTCTGCACGCCCTGATCCGAAGATCTGTTGCAAAGCCGCATAGGCGAGGCGAGCGCGTACAACACAAGGCATAGACAGGGCTGAGCGGACAGGGAGCGCGGCGGGCCATGTCGGAGCAGTGTTCCAGCCGCAGCGCGTCTGCCGGCGAGGATCTTGAGACGCGTGAGACAACGTGGGAGGCAGATCTTACAGCGCGTGCGTTAAACAGCAGGCCCATGATGGGCGGGCAGGCTGACGGGCCAGGCATAGACTGGTTTTTTTTATTGACGTCGTAAGCTCTTTCGCCAGGGCTGGTCCTCGTGCAGTCCGCTCATCTCCCTCAGAACAGCAGCCGTCGAGGCCGTCGAGGATTCGGCACCGGCGGTGGGGCCTCCTCGGCAAATCGAATGGCGAGTGTGGGTGTGCTGATGAGCAGGGCCTGGCGGGTGGCAGGCGTGGCAGGCGTGGCAGGCTAATCGCGCGCAAGCCTGACAGCCTGAGCCTGACGGCGCCGCTCCATGCTACCCCTGCCGCGCCGCGTTTGGGCGCCGGCGGCCAGCAGCACCCCGTCCCCCGCGCGAGGGGCAGCGCGGAGGCGCCCGTGGGCCAGCAGCGCCGGACAGAGTCAGAGCCGGAGCTTGAGCTTGCGCCTGCGCTTGCGCTGGAGAAACAGGGCGCCGGGCCGCGGCTCGATGCTGCAGTGCGCTGCGGCGGCAGCAGGCGCGTGCGATGCCGGGCGGCGCCAGTGGCATATTACCCAAATGCCAGACTGATGAGGAGCCGGAGCCAGCGGCAGAGCCCAGCAGGCCCAGCAAGCATCCTTGTCCCGCCCGCCGCTCGCTCGCGAGAAGCGTTGCGCATCCCTCGCGCGCGAGCTTGGCTGCCCGCGCCCACTTGCCTGACTCTCGCGGCTGCTCAGCGCATCCTGGTGGGTGCGGAGCTAGCTGGGCTATCTTACGTGCTCCTGGCCTGGCTTCCACGGTCCCAAGCGCGACCGCCAGACCGTTCGTCAATCCCCACTCAGGAGTCTCTACGCCACTGTTACTTGTACGCGAGAGCACCTGCCCTGCCGACAGTCTCAACGCTCTCCCAGACCGCGGCTCCACTCCTCATCTCAATGCGCCAGCGCCGCGCCCGCTCTCGGTAATCGGAGTGCGCACCCGCTGCCGCCTACTTAGGACGTCCAACCACACCCAACACGCGCGCAGCTCATCAGCAAACGAAGCTGACCGAGTGGCGGCTGATCCAACACCGACCTCCGAACCTCGACTTGCTGACGCCCCCCCCCCCACCTGCTCCCGATTGGCGCCCCGGCCTCGCACCGTCTGCTCCTCCCCGCTACAGCAATCCATCGCAAACTCACCGCGTCCCGTCCCGCCGCGCCAATAAGCTCCAGCGCGCGACGAGCTTCTTCCAACCTCCTCCGCCGCTGAGACATGGCGAGCGAGTCCACCGGCCGGCCTCTCCTACCCCAGACCGCACAGATGCAGAGCTTTCCTTTTGCGCCGCAGACGCTGGCGCCGCGGGAGAACCAGAGAAGTACGCCGCACCGCATGCGCCGTCATGTGTAGCTGCTTTGCGACTGCGAGCTGACCCGCCCCGCCAGACTATGTTTTCGTCGACGAGCACAACCGCCACAAGCGCCTCAAAGGTAGACTTCCGCGCGCCGCCGCTCTGCCTGCATCCTCGACAGGGAAGCTGACTTTGCCGAATCAGTGATGCGCGCCTGCGAGGGCTGCCGACGCCGCAAGATCAAATGTGATGCCGCCACCACAAACGCCTGGCCCTGCGCTGCCTGCATCCGGCTGAAGCTCAACTGCGTCCCGCCGACTGTCAGTTACGAAAACAAGGACTCGTTTCCCACCGGCTCGCACACTTTCGAAATCGGCGACAGGAGCCACGACTACGACCCCTCGCAGAGCGTTCAACACGTCCCCTCGCCGGGCGATTTCCAAAGACACCACTCGATCCAACATCCCATGGGCACAGAGGTCGGACCTCTCATGGGCCATCCTCTGCAAGCCTCCTACGCAGATGCAACTCGCTTGTACCAAACAGCGCCCTATGGTGGAATGCCTCCTGGACCCCCGCAGAGCCAGGAAAGCGTTCACTATGGCGCCATGCCTCCAGCCCCTCTGTCCAATTCGGATCAGATGAAGTACCATCCTCAACAAGTCTATCAGCCGCAGTCTGCGCCTTCCATGCATTCGTCAAATGAAGGCGAGCCGATGTGGAGGACCAACCTCGACACTTCTCAACTTACCGAGGCTCTTGGAGAGCTTAAAATCGATCACACAGCAATTGGTAAGCTACATCCACCGGAATCATCGAAATCCGTCATGCTGATGATCCTAGCACCGTACATTGCGAACCAGAAAAAATCCTTGGCAAATGCACCGCCAGTTGAAGAGTACGAGATTGAGCTCCCGGATGATCACGCCCCCGACATGACGATACGTATCCCGCCGGATATGATGCCGGCAGACCAACAGGCACTCAATTACTTTGAGTATTTCTTCACCAACATCCACCCCTACGTCCCAGTCATCAACAAGTCGTACTTCAACCAACAGTGGCACACGAACCGTTCCGCAATCTCTCCCCTCATCCTGGAGGCCATCTTCGCGTGTTCGTCCCTGATGCTGGATGATCCGTCACAAGCGAACAAGTGGTTGGCGCTCCTTGCCAGTACGTATTTCCATATATGTATCTTGTTATCTATCTGCTACGATTCTAATTTAGCTCTCAGAACACGAGGAAAGCTTCAAAGACGTCCCTCGCTTGAGCACGATTCAGGCTTTGATCCTTGCCCTGAAGGCACGGGAAGCTGTGCCCAAACGTGGTTATTTCTATAGGTCCTGGATGACGGTCGTGAACTGTGTTGCCATGGCCAAAGATCTTGATCTGGACACCCATTTTGAGCTGCATCAGATGGGCAAGCCCTGCGGCTCATCGGCACATGAATGTATCACAAAGACAAGAGTCTGGCACATGCTATTCCAGCTTGAGGTCATGGTCGGAGGACCTCAAGGTATGTTGAAATGTACACCCCTGCGTGGGTTTCAATATTAACTTTTTGTTTTTCAGGGCGTTCGGATTTCGGTGTTAAGGAAGACACTGTTGACTTCGACATTCCCCGGCCAATGTCAAGCCAGGAAGAGGTGGAGAATCAAATTTCGCGCCAGTTCGCTTACATGTTGCGCATCGTGAGGAACATTCAACAAACGACGATCCTCCACAAGACCCTTCGCAAGAAGACGAAGAGCTGGGCTGTCGAACCCTCTTTCGTGCAGCTGAACGATGCTTATGCTGCATGGGCCCGGGAGCTTCCTCGCGATATGCAGATTGACTATCCCACGGATGGTTCCCCGCCCTGGGTTCGGTCTCACTATGTTGCGAACTTGCACTGCTACCACTATCTCGGCCTCATCATGCATCACAGACCGCAGTTGCACTTCCACTATGAGTCTTTCGACCCGGTGTGGAAACAGCACATGCTGCTCTGTTATTCCGCTGCCAAGAACATGTGCAGGCTGCAGGAAGCCATCATCCGGGATTACAACCTGCCGGGCCTTCTTTGCATGCAGCGCGGAATCAGCTTCACCATATACTCTGTCCTGACCTGCACTATGCTTCACCTGGTAAGGAAATGTCCCAACTCATCATGCGTTACTTGCCTCTGACTGTCGATGATTAGGTTGCCATCACCTCCCCGGACCCGGAACTGAACGGTGATGCCAGGGATTACTTTGTGCGCCATATGAGGATTCTGGAGCAATGTATCGGAAACTGGCCAATGCCGGAGATGCAAGCACAAGTCAACAACCTGAGGGAGGCCTTTTCCGCGGATACCAGCAAGCCGTTCGAACTGAAGCCTTCGTTCCCCTTTGGTAGCCCGGCAATCCACAACAACCCCAGCCCCATCAGCGATGGTGGGTACCGTCATCGAGGCTCGGCGCAGGACCCTTCTTTGGAGCAACCAGGTCAAGTCAACTATACCCAGCATCCTATCACGCCGCCGATCTCCGCGAGCGACACGGACCCCAAGGCTGACTCTCCCGTAGTTCAGTCACTGGTCATGATGGCTGCGGGTCAGAGGCAACCCCAACAATCATCCATGCAAAATCAAGAACCAGTGCAATGGAACCCAAACAGAATCTTTGAGTAAGTGGCTGCATGTTTGTTGTTGGTGCAATGATACTGACTAGAGGGTGCACAGCCAATGGAATGCAGCTTTCGGTACGCCCCCTCCAAGTACTACGTCTCAGTCCTCCCCTCCTCTAAGACCGCCCCCGCCAGGCACCTACGAGCTTCGGACGCCACAACAGGAGACCCAACCTTCGGCATATTACCAGTCATCAAGCGTCTCGCCGCATACGCAACAAATCACCAATGTGCCGGCGCAGCTGCCTCCGCCCGTCTCGTACGCCGCACAAGCTCAGCCATACGTCACGCCGAGCATGTGGCAAGACGTCGTTGCCAGCTCCTTCAGCAATGAGTCCCTGAAGCGCCGATGGGACTATGGAGGCCAGGGGATGGTCGAGGGCCAAGTCCACAAGAGATCGAGATGAACAGTCCGCTGGACTGCTCCACCGCTCCCGCCGACTCGTTGTGCCTCCGGGATTCCTTCCAGCTTCAGGATCGGCCACCACCCTTTGGACTCAGCTTCCGCGTAATGCTGTCTATCAACGCACGCGCTGGTCCGTGCTGCCGCTCTCGTGGTAGATATTTCCTGTACGGACCCCGAGACTGGCTGGAGGGTGGCCGCAATCGACGATGGTACAAACCACATCTTCCGGAGTCGGTTTCAGATTTCAAGTCAAGACTTGGCAGTGTCTCAACAAGCGCTGAGGAAGAGCGACTACACCGACACCTCACGACTTGTTGGCCGGGGTTTCGATGAAACAGATGAGGTTGAGGATGGGGTAGCGAAGCGGCTGGAGAAGATGGATCATGGTCACCGGACATGGCCGGGTACGATATGTGGTGCGCGGCCTGTACACACACAGGCGCTAGGACATGTGGAGGGACAGGACGAAAAGATGTCGACGAAGTGGAGCCAAGCATGACTTGTGGTCACACAGCATGCGCTATTGGATCGTCTGTCACAACAGTGCAGCCGCGGGACGACGTGACGGCCAGGCACGTGTCATTTGCGTTGCTTTGCTTCTTGGCGTTCATGTAGCACGTTTGGGGGCTTCAAAAGGACGGGCGGGACGGACGGCGGTTTGGGAATGAGTAGCGGAAGTGACTTTTTCCTTTCAAGTTTCGGGTCGAAACGCGTCATTTGTTTCAGCGGCGCATCAAAAAATGGGGGTTGACCTTGGGCTGGGTTGGGCCGGCTGCATTTGCATTTCGTCCTGCATCTGCATCATCTCGCATTCCATCATTCTGCATCTCGCGCGTGTTTCTTCGAAGTTTACTGCATCCGGGGCCACGTGTGTGGGTCACGGCAGAGACCCTGCCGCCGGCGGACATGGAGGCGGCATGCATACTGCCTGCGGTGGCTGTGGCAATTCATGCGTAGGGTTGCATGGCTAAGAGAATGGGTTTTTTCCTGGTTGCCCTATTATACCCCTTTGAGCAATAGAGTCGAGTGAGAAGTTGCGTTCTATCTATGGTGTCGGCGAGGTCCGTGTTGCTGTGACACGCTGCCTTGATTTGATTGGGGCCGTCTTGTTCCTGAGCATGGCGTCATACGCGCGTACTTGTGGCAGCCGGCGTGGGAGGCTCGTTATTGGGATCTTCCCATCCGCGTCTTGGTGGACGCTAAAGCCGTGGCTGCGGGTAGTTAGTGATGATGATGTCGGGCAGCTACACAGGGCGGGAAGGGCAGCGAGTTTCCAGAAGGGGGGTGGGGAGCTTTGACGGCGGCGCTTGTTCGTTTGCTTGCGTAAAGCGCATTATTATTATTATCATTTTTTTTTAGGGCAAGCCGGGGAAAAGAAAGCCAGCTGCCAGGGACGCCAAGCCGCCTGAAGCGCAGGGGCCTTCTTTTTACGACTCGAGGCGCAGGCGCTTTGACTAATGCTTAGAAATGTCTATTTAATGTTTAGTATACATGCGATCCGCCTGCCCACGGACACCTCCCCCAAGGCTGTTGGTCCTGCCTCGCGAAGAGATGAGGCAGCAAAACTTCGCACAGGGGCGCGCTGGCTCTACTACTACTACTACTACTACTACTACACTTCGCTTGTGGCTAGCTTCCGTGAGGCGGACGGGCGATAGTGGTGCGTGGGAGCTGCGATAAGACGTTTACGTTTCGCCGTGCCTGAGCGCCGGTCCGGGGCGGGTGCACAGGTGGGACTGGAATCGCATGTGCCGCAAATGGCGCTTAGCTCTGGGGCTGATCGCTCTGCTCACCTGGACCGACCACCATTGCCGGTGAAGCTTAAACGCGGTCCCTGCACAGTACTGCTCGATGGCCGACACTCATTTGCCAAATGAAGGACCATCTCGCGAGCCGCGTGCCCGCAGTAAAAGGTCTGTTACAATATTGGTTTGGGCGTACTTCGTACAGCGCCTACTGAGGACGTAGTAGATGTTGTGTGTAGATCGCCTGTCTCGTTTCCCTCCGGGCAGGGAGCCATGTGCGCACCATCGCGCGGCGGCTGCCGTCTGGACATTGCTGGTTCCGAGGCTAAACCCAGTCAGTCAGCCCAAGTCTACCCTGACCCGCAGCCTACCCGGCGAAGAAGCAGGGCCTTGACCGCTTTCCCAACGCAGCAGGCGGTCGACCGTCCTCCGCCCGGCAAAAAAAAAAGTTAAGCTGCGTAAACTTTTTTGTCCGCGGCGATCAACTGCGCGCGCAAATAAACGACCCCGCGACAGCACACCCATCCCTCCCCACCCCCCGCATTGCGCCATGGCCGAAAGCTCGAACGCGCCGAGGCTCACCTTCACCGGCCACCGTCACCTCGTCCAGCGCCTCGTCCTCGCCACCCTCACCGGCCGCCCCGTCCGCATCTCGCAGATCCGCAGCAAGGACGTCAACCCCGGCCTCCGCCCGCACGAGGTCTCCTTCATCCGGCTGCTCGACGCCGTCACCAACGGCTCCACGATCGAGTTCTCGTACACGGGCACGACGCTGGTCTACCGGCCCGGCCTGATCGCCGGCAGCGCCGCCGGCTACGGCGCCAACATGCACGGCGTGCTCAAGCACGAGGTGCCGCGCGAGTGCGCCCGCGGCCTCAGCTACTTCCTGATCCCGCTGTGCCTGCTCGCGCCCTTCGCCAAGAACAAGCTCAACGTCACCTTCGCCGGGCCCGGCGTCATCACCGGCGCGACCCCCGCCACGGGCGACGTCTCGGTCGACACGGTGCGCACGGCCGTGCTGCCGCTGTACGCGCAGTTCGGCATCCAGGCCGACATCGAGCTGCGCGTGCTGCGCCGGTCGGGCGCGGGCCCGGGTGGCCGCGGCGGCGGCGGCGAGGTGCAGCTCGTCTTCGGCCACCAGGTGCGGCTGCCGCGGACGGTGCACCTGCTCAACCCCGGCCGCGTCAAGAAGATCCGCGGCGTGGCGTACACGACGGGCACGTCGGGCGCGAACAACGCGCGCATGATCGAGAAGGCGCGCGGCGTGCTGAATCCGTTCGTGGCGGACACGTACGTCTTTTCGGACGTGTCGAGCGCGCCGCTGGTGCCGTGGCCGACAAAGGAGAATCCGGACAACAAGCGGAAGATTGGCGTGGGGTTCGGCCTCAGTCTTGTGGCCGAGAGCTCGACGGGGATGCTGTACTCGGCGGACGTGGCGTCGCCGCCGCAGGGGGGCGTGCCCGCGGAGGATATCGGCTTGCAGTGCGCGTATCAGCTGCTTGAGAACATCGAGAAGGGCGGCTGTGCCTCTAGCGTCGGGGCGCCGACGATGCTGACGCTCATGGCTATGGGATCGGAGGATGTGGGAAGGCTGCAGCTGGGAAGGGATGTTGTGGGGACCGAGGATGTCATCCAGCTCAGCAGAGACCTGCGGGCGTTTGGTGCGAGCGGATGGGGATTGAGGGATGCAGGAAACGAGGAGGGAGATATTGTGGTCAGCATTGTGGGTAGAGGAGTGGGCAACGTTGGAAGGAAGATTGCTTAATTCTTTTTTTTTGTGCGCGCATTATCGCAGGTTGCATGGGAAAATGGCGTTTTGAGAGGGTTGGCAGGCATTCTGCTTGCAGGGAGTTTGAGGCCTGGAAAAAATTTCACGGGATGCCGAAGAATGGCAGGAAAGGGAAATGCATATACCCATGTTCTAGAAATGCATGTGTGTCGAGTCTGAAGAATCGTCTATGATGAGAAATAGCTGATGCACTATGTAAGTTTGACGCCAGGCATTTGTAGTTTGAGTAACGGATGAGCTTGAGAATGGTTGAGAATCTGTTTCATGGACGCAAGCCAATGGAGACAGAGCCTTCAGAAGAGAGCATGATGTGATATGCTGGAGAGTAGGTCACCAAGGTGTGCATGGCATCAGTTACACGGCCCGCTGCTACGGGACGCGCGCGTCGCGTCAAGCTCCGACTAGCGCGCCTGCCCTGGCGGGTACGTGCAGCTTACCCGAGACCTAGAACTCGAACACTCGAGCCTCGACAGCTGCATCTTCTACCCCGCCCGCCCACGTCGTCATCCCACCAGGCTGCCGCTGTGCATGCCAATTGACCTGGATCGCTGGATCGACGGCCGCCTCCGCTCGAGTCCATCTCTTCACGCGTCCCTCCCACGGCAATACCCGAGGACACCGCCTGAGGCATCGCGTCTCCAATTCGAGTTATTGATTCACTTTGGCGACTCCTCGTCCACGCTACCTTTTTTGGCCGACTTCAAATACATCTCGCTCTGTATACCTGCCTGAGCGTGAGCTCCCAATCTCTTGTCCACCCATCGGATCTGGCCTATTGCCCTCTCTTTTGCCCGGCGCATCCCGCCTACTATGCCTCCACTCAGCCGCCGCGCGAAGCCTCTACTGAGCACGGTAGGTGGGAAGCCTTCCTCAGCAGATCAGCCAGCTACCAAGTCATCGGCCGCAGCGATTACACCGCCGTCCTCGGCACCGAAGCCTGCTCCATTGCGAGAAGGAATGGGCCTCAGTGACGATCCGGAAAGCGGCAGTTCCAATGATGAAGGGTCCGACGATGACAAGGTTGATTTCGCCTCCTCCGCCCTCTCCTCGCCCGTGTCAAAGTCTCCGTACAAGCCGCCGAGAAGGGGAAAAGCCCTCAGAGCGCCTCGTTCCCTCGGCGGTGGAAGAGCGACAACGGTTGCGGCCAATAAAAAGAGAGCGCGTGGAAACGAAGACGCAGCGACCGGAACGCAAGATTCGGAAGTCGGCTCGGGCCATGACGACGACATGATGGATCCTCTCTTCGGCGACATGAGCACCTCCCGGCCCGCAAAGCATAGGCGGACTACGTATGGAACCGCGGGGAGGAGCTTCGAGGCTCCTGCGGCGAGCGGCAAGGCAAAGAAGGCGGCAGCTGGATACGGAGGCAGGTCTGGGGCGAAGAGTGCGCAATCAACACCCGCAAAGAATATTCATACGCTCGCAAAGACTTCGGCGGCGAGTACGGGACGAGCGGCTGCGAAAACGAATAAAAAAGGTACGCCATTTTCTGATATTTCAGCCAACACTGTGACCCTGTCGTCTTCCCAGAGGATTCATGGAGAGTGTGCTGGTGGTGAGAATGAGGGGCGAAGGCCAGGAAAAATGTTGAAGCTGCTTGATCCAATGGCATCACCTCCCAGTCCGGAACGGGCGATTCTCAAAACACTACCACCAGTCAACTTTCCTATACAGACTAGGAGCTCACCGAAGCTCCTAAAGCTGGCTCCATCACAACCTCAGCCTTCACCGGCAGAATGCACACAAGGGAGCACCTCACTATCAAAATCCCAAGACTACGAAGTAATTGATCTGACAAAGCGCTCCAAAGATATCAAATTGGGTAAATCAGATGCGTCCAACAAAGGAAATCAAGATACACCTACCAACAGGAAAACTCTCAAGCTACTTCCTTCCATCGACGGCGGCACCCCATCGACTCCGTACTCTAAGAAAACGGCGACACGAAGATCATCGAGGCGCAACAAAGGCCAAGCCGCCGATCACGACGACGACGACAAAGATATCAAGGTCAGCAGCCCGATCGGTCTTGATGCCCTCGAAGATGACGACGACGACGGACCCAACCCGAACGGTAACTACGAGACGCCGGCCAAGTGTCCCATCTGCCAAGCACCGGTAGATCGCTTTCTACTCGAGGAATGGCAAGGGAGCCGTGCATATATGCGCATCCGGCGCCAGATGGCGTTTTGCCAGGCGCATCGGCGCGCCACGGCCCGTGAGGAGTACGCCGCGCGCGAGTACCCGGAGATCGACTTCGATGCGCTGCTGGGGACCACATCCGCACCGCGCGACGAAAACGGCGAGGACGATGACGACGACGAAGGCGGTGACGACAACAAAAACAACAACAACAAAAACAACAGCAGCGGCAGCGGACGCATCCAACGCTTCCGCGACGACCTGATCGGCATCGTGCGCCGCGAGCGCGCCTCGGCCTTCCGCGACGCGGCGGACGCGGCGGCGTCGAGGGGCGAGGGCCGCAGCCTCCGGAAGACGGTACTGGCCACCACCACGGACACGGACGCCGCGTGCCTGGCGGGGGGCATGAGCGTGGGCTACTACGGCCCGCGCGGGCGCCGCGTCATGGAGGGGTGGGTCACGCGCGAGCTCGCCGACGCGATCCGGCAGCAGGCGGGGCGCGACCGCCTCATCGGCTTCAAGACGGTGAGCGGCTTCATCCAGGAGGTGCTCGTGCCGGAGCTGGCGACGCGGCTGGTGGCCGAGGACCTGGACGTCGGCGAGGAGCGGGCGAGGGAGGTGTTGAGGGAGAGCGGGGAGATTGGGGAGCTGGTCAACGGGGTGGATGATGAGGATGGGGAGGAGGAAGGGGGGGGAGGGGGAGGGGAGAGGACGGGGGCTGGGAAGCTTGGCGGCGGTGAGGATGAGGATGGTGAAGGAGATTATTGATCGGGGGACGGGACGGGGCGGGGCGGGGCGGGATGCTTATTCTTTGTTGCGGCTTTTGGCTACCTACCTGGTTGCGAGGGTCTTTGGTGAGATGACGATCCGGCCGGGCTCTTCTTCCTAGCGTTTGTCGCCTTTGCTCTAGAGCTAGTCTTTGTCTTCCCTTGGCGTATTGGGGTCGATGGGGGAAGGTGAGGGGGGCAAGGTTGGGCATCTAGCCGGCGTTGTTCGAGAATGCATCAAGGAGGGACTTTCCATAGTGCATCAGTTGCTGAAGAGATTGCGTATAGCTGTTAAGACAATGGAGAAGCAGTATTGTGACAGACATGATTGGATAATGAGAACAATTGCTAGGTCTATTCATATACGGCACCACAAGAGATTCCCATGCTACCCGTGTTGAACGAGACGAATGACATATTTTGAATGACTGAGTACATCTAGGCCTTACAAATATGGCCAGCAGCTTCTGCTGGTTCTCTGTACATATGGAGCACCGGCATCTTATCAATAAGCCACTTACGTTCGCGCATGTGCCAAAGCCCAAACGTCTCTTGACGTGTGATCAGTTATCCAGCTGAATGAATCACTGGGGAATTGTCTGCCGCTCGCGGTACGCCCGTAATTTTTGGCTTGGTTATGCTTCACAAAGCCCTTGGAACTCTTCGACCGTGCCCGTGTCGCGCTCCCCATTCTAGTGATTTGTGAGAGCAACATGTCGAGATGCTGCTTCTCAGTATATATACGATTAACGGGAGTCTAGACTTACGCAATGGGAACCAAGGAACTCCAATGAATTCCTTTATATTTCCCTCCTAAGAAAGCTCAAGATGCGACAGCCTTACCCAAAAAAGGTCAAGGTGTGTGAGGCTACGATGGCCTCGATAAGAACGCCAGAGCGCACGTGGCAAGGACTGAAGCGGCTTGACTTACTTAATGCCTAACTTTTGAAGCCTGAGCTCGAAACAGGGTTTAGTTGTTGCTTCTACTGAGCGTGCATATTCAATTGTTTCACGCGACATCCTCGTCACTCCCGACAGGTGCCGGTGTACCTCCAAGACTATCCAATCCCCTTTCACTTGCCGCCCCACTATCAGCTCCGTTTACTGGCGTTGCTGCACCACCAGCCCCGCCAGCGTCAAGCCTCAGCTTCTCATATTTCTCTCCCGCAATTTTTAGCTGACTCTGTATCCAGGATTCCTGAGAGGCAATGTCCGCCTTTTCTCTTGCCAGTTCCTCCATCCTCCTTACTCTTGCCGCTTTGACCTCTTCCTGCTCCTTCAACGAGGCTCGTAGTCGCGCCAGCACCCCTCCTAGCTCCGGTAATGATGAGATTTTCGGCGGTGTCCGTGGGCGCTGCGGGTCGTCTGCATTCTTGTCTCGTGATCCGTACGTTCCGGCTTTAGTTTGCGCAGCCACGTAGGCAGCATTGCGCTCATCTTCCGAATCGTCGGACTCATCGTCTCCGGAGCCGCCACCCTCAGCATCTGCAATCATGCTAGCCATCTCTTCACGACGCTTGCGCGCAGCCTCGCGCTCTGCCTTACGGCCAAGCGAGATGCGGCCGTCTTCCACAAAGTCCTCGAAGCCTTCTGCCACATCCTCATCTTCGCGCACTAACCGGCCTTCGGGGTATTTCTCCTTGATGGTGGTTCGGATCGTAACGTCACGCGGCCGGTCAAGGTCGTCGCTATCGTATGCATTGTCATCATCGTACACGGTCCTATCCCTGTCCTCGTCGCCATCCAGAGACATAAATCCCGGCTCTTGAGCTAGCCGTCGTCTGCGTTCTTTCTTCTCTCTGATTTCCGCATCAGTGGGGATGGCGGATGACGACTTTAAGCTCGCCAGCGGCCCGAATTTGGCCGCAATGTCGACCTCCTTCCCCTCCGGTTCGTCGCCGTCGTCGCCTGGGCCGGGCTTCGGGGTGGACGGCTGCGAGTCGCGCAGTTCCGCCAGCGCTTCCTTGCTGTAGCTGGGTCGTTCATCTGCGACCTCTCTCTGCGCAGGCAGTTGGTCCGAGGTCAATGAGACGCGGAAACCTTTGCGCTCGGCGTTCTTCTCCGCTGCTATTCTGCTGAGGTTCGACTTCTTGGGCGTGAAGACTGCGCCGCTGTCATCATCACCCTCCGTGGCACTTTCACCAGGGCCAAACGAGAGACGGAGAGAAGATCGTTTCTTAGCCTTCGAGGGCGCTCGTTTTACTACGGGTTCTGCCAGGTTTTGATCAGCTATCTGTCCAGAGCACGCGCGTCAGAATAGGAGGTTTATGATGTGGCAGGAAGCAAGGAGGTGGATATACTGACCTGGTGTTTGGGGGCCCGCATCGGTGCCGGAGCTGGTGGCGCCAGCATCCTCGTCCTCGTCCTGGCCGACCTTGCGCGGGACGCGCCGCGCGCCGAACGATTTCCTCATAGTGTTTCCTTCTTTTTGTCTTTCTCCGTTTTACGTCCGTGGTCGCCGATCCGGGTTGGATTCGTCTCGAGAGCCCACTTGAGCGCGGGGTTCGGTGCAGCGGGCAAATGCTGTAGTGGTGGTGGAAAAGCGGCGGCCTGCAGCTCTGGAAAGGCAGCGTCGCGGCGGCGGGCGGTGAGCGAGCGGACTCAGGGCCGGCAGAATTGCTTCTTGGCGCGCGTCGGCGCGAACTTGAGCTCAACGCTGGCGCATTTCCAACACCACCTGCCCTTCGACAACAGCGCGCCTACCATCCTTGCAAACAGCTCCCGAAACCACACGCACCGCACGCTCTACTCGTCCTCCAAGCGGAACCAATCACAATGCCTCAGGCTCAGCCGGAACTCAAGAAGGTACCGTTTCTGCCGTCGTTACGATAGCTCTGTCCTGGGAGAAGATTGGTTACATCCACTGACAAGACTACGAGCAGTACCTTGACAAGCGCCTGTTCGTGCAGCTCAACGGCTCTCGCAAGGTTATCGGTGTCCTTCGCGGCTACGATGTATGTCGCCCTATCCGACCAAGCTTTTGACGCTCATAGCCCCGCCTCGCGCCCGACTCCAGGCTGACGCCCATACCTAGGTGTTCCTGAACATTGTCCTTGACGAGGCCATCGAGGAGAAGGCTGGTGGCGAGAAGGTCCGCATTGGCATGTGTGTACGTGGTCCAACTACATTCAGGCCTATTTGCAGTGCAGAATGCTGATCAAGATCTTGCAGGTCATCCGCGGCAACTCCGTCGTCATGCTCGAGGTACGACTTTCTTGCCCCACTCGAGATCTTGTCTGCGTTGCGTTCCGACCCTGCGAAGTCGCGAACCTGCAGAATATCTGGCGAAACAAATACTGACTGACTGGCTTGTAGGCCCTTGAGCGCATTGGCGGCGATGATCGTCAGCACCACAGGTAGAATGGTGCAGACACGAGGCATGGTCAACAGCACATCCTTTCTCTTTTCTCGGATACCACTTGGTCAAACAAGGATGCACGGAGCTATTGGAGTCGGGGACGGCCTTAGCTAGTGTACAAAATCGGCAGGAGGGCGGCATCCACGGTATGCTCCATCCAGAAAGCTTTCTTAACGAGGAAACAAATCCGTTGACAAGTCCATCAAGTGGTTCTCTTCTTTTCTTCGGAGGCGTTCATCGGATAACACGAGGCAAATGGATAGCGAATGCTGCTCAGAATTTAGCAGCTGGCCACCAAAAAAAGCAAGCGAGATCTTGGATACGATCGAGTATTCTATTCCGTCGTGCATTGAATTTGCAGTTTTTCACGCTCTATGAACAACGAAAGTCTCCTATAACTTCGATTTCGCCTTCCCTTGCTTGATCTCCTGCACCAACTTCCAAGCCAGCTCGCCCATCGGCTTCATGCCCGCGCCGTAATCCTTCGCCTTCAGCGAACTCGCCTGGCGCTTCGCATACCTCGCCGCGATGCCCTGCAAAATCACCGCACCGCGATACAGATTGAACGCTTCCCCCCACACAATTTCCGGCGCCGGATCCCAGCCTGCCGTCTCGGCGTACAGACGCACGAGCTCATCGTGCGTAGGGAGGCCGGGCGTCGCTCCCGGCTGGAACGACTGCGTGCCCTTGCCGCCGGCGCCGATGCTGACGCCGCTGGCGGCGGTGACGAAGGGGTTGAGCAGGTTGGAGAGGTCGGACAGCGGGTGCCCGATGGTGGACATTTCCCAGTCGAGGATGCCGACGACGCGCGGCTCCGTCTTGTGGAAGACGACGTTGTCGATCTTGTAGTCGCCGTGCACGAAGCCGCTGCGGTCGCGCGGCTGCGTGGCCCCGTCGCGGAAGAAGGCGACCATGGCGTCGTAGTGCGGGATCTGGCCGACGGGCGCGCCCGTGTCGACGTCGGCCGCCTGCGCCTGCGCCTGCGAGATGGTGGCGAAGGTGGCGAGCTGCCGGTCGAAGAAGCCCGCGGGCTTGCCGTAGCCCGCCAGCGCGACGGCCGCGGGCTCGACGCGGTGGAACTTGGCGAGCGTGCGCACCGCGTCGTGCCACATGGCGGTCCGCTCCGCGACGCTCACGCCGGGGATGCTGGGGTCCTCGAAGATGCGGCCGTCGAGGAACTCCATGATGTAGAAGGCCGTCCCGATGACGGCGTCGTCCTCGCACAGGCAGTACGCCCGCGGCACCGGCACGTCCGTGTGCCGCGACAGCGCCGCGATGATGCGGTACTCGCGGTCGACCTTGTGCGCCGTCTTGGACAGCAGCTGCCCCGGCGGCTTCTTGCGCAGCACGAAGCGCCCGCCCGTCGGCTGCGACGTGAGCAGGTAGGTCGGGTTCGACTGGCCGTATCCGAACTGTGTTTTGTGTGCGCGCGCGCGGCCGGACGGTCAGCTAGCTCTGGGGTTGCGGTGTGCGTTTCTCCGTGTTTTTTTTTTCTGTCGTTTCCCTTTGGTTTATACGACGGGGGCTCGGATGGAGAGGGCATGGGATGGGTACCTGTTTGACGTCAATCGGCGTCTTGATCTCCGGCACGTTCGCGTCGATGTAGCTCGACAGCGAGCCGACGTCGATGGGTTGGCGAACCTCGCCCGCCATTATTTCTCGCGGGGCAGGTTTGTCCCAATGAGAGAAGCACTGTGTAGATATTTGTTCGGTGTTCAGCCCCCAGAAGTGCGCTCCTGCTTCATGTTTGGGGTGAGAGGTAATAGCCGCGGATGCTCGAGTAAGTAGTGAGGACGGAGCGGAGTTGGCGGGAGCTTGGATCGTCCCCATCTTGCCGAGGCATGCATGTTGCGGGGGCTTCCTCGGGAGCATTGCCCTGACACCTCCACCCCTTCAGCCCTATCGAGCAAGGGGGGGAGACGACGTCAAGCGAGGTTAGTTGCTGGCGTCCTGCATATCGCGTCAACCCACAGCAGGTCGCACGCATCTCTGACTTCATGTGATGGTGCGGAATCCAACAATGAGTTGCTTGGGGACTGCGATCCAACACCTCACTCATTTCCAGACGTTGCATGGAGCACCCTGATCCCATGCATCTGGGTGCAGTACGCACATGCTGAAGTTGGATGCAGATGACTAGGGCGGTCACCCGATGAATTGAGCAGAGCCTCCGGCTGTGGTCTCGCCTTTGGAAGAGGCTCGTGCATGCAGCTCAGCCACAGGTCTTGATCAGTCCTGGAGCAGGAGATTAGAAACATGCTAATTGGCTGAATGGTAAGAGGACATTACCAAAAAGAGAAGAAAACACCCAAAGAAATGTGGAGCACATCAAACGCTCACGGATGAAGGAGTATTTCAAAGAAGTGTAGTAGCAGAGGCGCATGACGCGCAATTAGTCTTGTATCAATTACCGCAAGACAGTGACTGAAGCTATCTTCTACAACTATCAATAATGACGGGGAGCGTAAGAGGCCCCCCTTAAGCCCGAAAGCCTTTCATGAATCGTGTCGCGACAAGTGATGACGAACGCCACGCTATAACCAGCAATAGTCTACCCAATGCCCCATGCAATGCTCAAAACCCGAAGAAAACGCCGAGGTGGATCCAATGCTCACCTGCCGGCTAGTGTCGAAGTAGAAATCTTGAGAAGAGGCTGTCATGACAGCCTAGTAAGCCCTTTTCTTCTTGGCCTGAGAGTTCATCCTCTCCAGCATCTGCTTGCGCTCGAGCTTCTTGCGCTTGAGCGCTTCTTCCTCACGCAGTGCTTCCTCGTCTTCCTTCCTGGCCACACGTAAACTCATCTGCTCTTCCTGATCCACGTCGAATATGCCCGCCTCCATATCTGAAGACCCCTCTGAATCGTAGTTCTCTTCCTCCTCTTCATCGTCGTCCTCGTAGTATCGGTAGCGTTTCTCCATGGGTCGTGGACCAAGTGAGCCACTTCTGCTCCTGTCGCCTCTGTCTAGTCCGGGTCTGCGTGCTGCTGCTGCACCCTTGTGCATGGTTCCCTGATAAGCGGGTTCCTTTGCGGCTGGACGCATGGTGCCGCGCATGGTGCCCTGGTAGCCTAGGTCCGGCGCCTTCTTCTTCTCCTTCACAGCCTCGCCAGCCTTTGCATCAACGCCCTTGGCAGGTCCCTTCAGTCCCGGCTTCAATCCCTGCTTCAGTGCAAGCTTCGGGTCCTTTGCAGCAGCGGCTGCCTGCTTGTTCTTCTCTTGAAGAGCAAGTTTCTCCTTCTTGGTCAGCTTCTCAAGCGGTTTGTGCTTGATAGCACCAACCGGCGGCTTTTCCTGCTGTGCCGCCTTTGCTCTGGCCAAAATCTCTTGGTATGATCCCTTCTTCGGTGCCGGTCCGGATGCAGCTGGTGCTGCTGAGACTGCGGGCGCGGGCTTCGTGACGGGCTTCGGCACGGGCTTCGCGGCGGCGGCATTAGTGGAGGGGCCCGACTTGGCGACCGACGCATACGTGGTGGGTTTGCGAGCGACGGCGGAGCCGGATGGTTGAGCGGTGCCGCGATAGGGCATCGAGCTTGACGATGCGGGAGTGGCGGGTTTCACCACCGGAGAAGCGGTGCTGGTACGGGATACAGGATTTGAACGGGACGGATCCAGGTCCCTACGGACAGCCTTCGCAGGTACGGACGCTGGCTCGCCTTCGGCCTTGCGCTTGGGTGCCGTTGTTGATGACACGCCGTTGCTTGGGCCACCGACACGTGGTGTTTGCGTCGGTTTTGTGACGGGGGCTTGCGAGGGGGCGGCTCGTCCAGACTGCGACTGGGACTGGCCTGCGCCGCCGCCGATGGAAGAAAGGACACTGTTGAGGAACTACGGACCAGGTAAGCAGCGGTGGCGACACGCGGCAGGGGACAGGCTTACGCTCATTGTGGAAAAGGCCCAGCCGTTTGTTCAGAAGATCACCGACAGTCGCTGGTATGGCTGGCGCTCATGCTGCGGGCATGAAAAGGTTGGGGAGCAAGGGAGCGCGCGGGAGACGGATGGCGGCGAGAGCGGGGACGGCCGGCGGGTGGAAATGAAAGGAGGGAGGAGGAAGACGAGGAGAAGAGTGCAGACGGCAAAGAGCAGGACATGACGCTCTTTAAAGCGCGGGCATCGGCGCCGGAATATCCAAGCGCACCCGCCTGAGCCCCGGCGCACGCAGCCACTACCCGGAGGCGGCGCGTTTGCCTGGGACCACGGCTGCGCTAGCGATTGCTTTTGGACTAGCGCCTCGCACACCGGGCATCGCTATTCTGAACACTCAACGCCGCCCTCTGCTTCTTCTTCTACACCCAACGACAATCTCCAGGACTCGACGTTTCAGTCTCCGCCAACGCGGCTAAACCGATTGATTCGCTTGTTCCCCCCCAAACTCCTCCACAAGTGCGCCTCCCTTTGCGCTGCGGCTCCATCGCCCGCGCGTTGCAGTTTTCGCTCGTTCGTTTCGGAGATCACTAACATTTTGCAGCAACCACAAAAATGAAGCACCTCGCGGCCTACCTCCTCCTCGGTCTCGGTGGCAACGCCACCCCCTCCGCTGCCGACATCAAGGCTGTCCTTGAGTCCGTCGGTGTCGAGGCTGACTCCGAGCGCCTCGACAAGCTCATCTCTGAGCTTGAGGGCAAGGACGTCCAGGAGGTACGATTGCTCACCTAATACCGAGAGCTTTTTTTCTCCGAAAGAATAATTGCTAACCCTCTCTCAGCTGATCGCCTCTGGTTCCGAGAAGCTCGCCTCCGTCCCCTCTGCCGGTGCTGCTGCCCCCGCTGGTGGTGCCGCCGCTGGTGGTGCCGCCGCCGCCGAGGAGAAGGCTGAGGAGAAGGAGGAGGAGAAGGAGGAGTCTGACGAGGACATGGGCTTCGGTCTCTTCGACTAAGCGTATCACGGTCAAGATTTGGTCATTTTTGCTCGGAATGGGGTTTAACGGCTCGGGATCCGGCAAGAACAGGCTCACGTGTATGGCTTGCAAATTTGGAGGAATCTGCGCAGGCTAAAAAAAGGGCGTCTTTCGGACGAGGAGCATGTTCAGCAGAAATGCTGTGTGATATCCCAAAAATATGAGAAGGCCGTGCACCTCCAATTGCTCTTCAAAATTTACATGTGATTCGAACTGCAGCATCTCCAGACTGCTAAATTGAGAGTCCGTCCTCAGGGCGCATGACGCTAGAATTCATGTGCTTCTGCGTGAGCCATGTGAGCGCGTATCCTTCGGTATCGATAGCAGCATGACAGGCTCGGGGAGCTGTTCGGGACGAGTCTTGGCGCTCGCTTAGGCGCTCCCACCACAATTTGGGCGAACTTGTCCGCCGTCAACTCGACTTCAACTGCGACAACACCTTTTGCGCCCCTTCGAAGTCCTCAACCCGCACTTCGACAACCGCAAAAATGGCTGACCAGGAATACGTGAGTACACTCTCTTGTCTCTGATGCGCTGCTGAGCGCCCTGCTGACCCTTGGATAGAACGCCGAGGAGGCTGCCGGTACGACCTGAAAACCCTTCGCACACTCGCCCAACCGCCCGCAACCCATCGCGATCGCTGCACTGGCACATGCACCTGCTCAGTCCATCGAAACCCGATTGGGTCTTACCCACGCTGGAACGGGGACTTTGGCTGACAAGACGGTGATGTGCAGAGCTTAAGAGAAAGAGAGCGTTCCGCAAGTTTTCGTACCGCGGTATCGACCTTGACCAGTACGTGCGATCTGATAGCGGGGGAGGTTGGACTTTGTCATGCTTACACCGAACCCAGGCTCCTGGACCTCTCCTCCGAGCAGCTCCGCGATGTTGTCCACGCCCGTGCCCGTCGCAGGTTCAACCGTGGTCTCAAGCGCAAGCCCATGGGTCTGATCAAGAAGCTCCGCAAGGCCAAGCAGGAGGCTCGCCCCAACGAGAAGCCCGACCTTGTCAAGACTCACCTCCGTGACATGATTGTCGTCCCCGAGATGATCGGCAGCGTCATCGGCATCTACTCCGGCAAGGAGTTCAACCAGGTCGAGATCAAGCCTGAGATGGTTGGCCACTACCTGGCTGAGTTCTCTATCTCCTAGTACGTTGTACGGAATCCATCTGTTGCGAACCGTTCTAACATCTGCCACAGCAAGCCCGTCAAGCACGGTAGGCCCGGTATTGGTGCCACCCACTCCTCGCGTTTCATTCCCCTCAAGTAAATGCTTGTTTGGGTTTCGGGTTGCATGGTTCGGGGCATATGGAGACTACGGAAATCATGAAGGATACATGAGCCAATAAAAAGTCCCCTCGATCGGATCTGGCTATGATGTGATAACCTGGTGCTGCCAGCCACCACCAAAAAAGAGTTCTTCAAAATAACTTCATGTGCCTCGGAATCGTCTCATTGCATACATTGTTGTTTTGACTGTCGTATGACGCTACCAATGGCCTGGCCCTATATGTGAACCTCCCCGTTCCGAATACACCTGGCTCTCCATTCTCAGCGCAACCAACCAAGTTTCTGGGCCCAGCTGTAGGACGCAAACGAACCGACTCCTATATGTACGAGTATGCAAGCAAACTCGGTCACAGGATAGATCTTAACACAAACGATACCGAGTACGAGCCATACTTTAGACGGACCTATGCATTGCAGCCACGGCCTGCTCTTCATTGATACTGCCAAGGTCCCAAATATAGGCATTTCCGCCCTTGTCATCTACCCCACTCATTGGAGTATTTGTGCTAGTACAATCTGGTTGGAGTGTTAGGAAAACGTTTTGTGAGGCTGGCCGTTGGTAAGACGTCGTGGTGACAAGGGTATGAGAGCACAAGACGGAAACGGACCCACAATGTCGTGTCTCTTCGTTACCTGACTACACCGACTGTCGTCGCCAGACTTGATATCACAAGCTCCTTGTTTGGTTTCTCCAAATGGCGTGGGCTTACCATACGTCGTGGTCAGTCCGGCTGAGGACGGGCATCTCTCACCGAAACCTCTGATCAAGCGCCGCCGGCATTGATGCATATCATTCTCGAAGCACGTTTTTGTCCCCGCTAGGACATTGTTCGCGTGCCTTGCGCCTACGGTCGACTTCCCGGTGGCTCTGAAGCATTTGAGCAACCGTGTTGACCTTGAGAATGAAATAGATCGTAAGTGCACAAAAGCATTGCTCAAAGCGCAGATACTGATATTACTCCAGCCAACAAGCCATCTGTCGCCCTGCGAGAGATGTACCAGCGGACATTAACAAGTTCACCCCCGTCACATTCTCCACTGGCACACTTAGCTGGGTAGAAGCGAAGGCGGCGGTCGAGGTGCTTTGGAACTTTATCATCCGCGGTGCTCGACCTGTCTGAGGCGATCCGCGAGGACTTGGGCCCCGAGCTCACGGGCTATTCGAACGAAGAGCTGGACAAAGCCATCGAAGAGAAGGTGTCCAGTTGGATGTACTACGCGGCGGGGCCGGCGACTGGTCGACCCGTCAGCCACATCGGGCTGACGTCCAGAGCTGGGGGGAAGCTGGCAATGAGCGACGACACTGGGCAGCTGTACGGGTGAAGGACACGTATTTCTTTTTTTTTTCTTCCTGGTGGTACCGGCAGCCGCCGTTTGGGGTGGTCGGGAGCCTTGTGGCTAATAGGAAGGTGTTGGCTCCGGCGTGCAGATAGCGAGTAGTACGAGGACAGTCGGCACGGGAGGACAAGCGGTTACCTAATTTGCGGAAAGGTCGGCGACAAAGTTTTCTCGCGCGTCTCATGAGAGGCGGGGCGGCTGAGAAATCCGGTGTGAGGAGAAGGTGCGGTGACTCGTCGCGGCGCTTATTGACGGCTGAGGGGCGTTCAGGAGGGCTTGCGCAGGAACGCGTGCATGGGCGATGATGCAATGCAGAGATGTGCAGCCGCCGCGTCCAACAGTACCTAGTAATCTGGGGAAGCGCGCCGCACCTTCCCGAGGCGATGCCAGAGCTAAGCTCGCCGCTGCTGACAGATTCGGCGCCCGCGCCCTTCGACGCGCTTCCCGTGAATTATTAACAAGCTGCGGCCTAAGGCTTAAAAAGCAGAGGCCCGGCGAGCCGCTCTTACCCTGAGTGCTTCTTTTAGGGCGATTGCGCCATCTCCACCACGCAGCCGTGCGCCATCTCAGTCCATTCCATTGTCTGACTCTTGACATAACTAATCTGCTCGACCGCCCTCGCCCTTAAAAGAGCGCAGCTGCTCCTGTCTCGACCGTCCCTGTGCAGCCCTCGTTCTCGCGTCCCGTTAACAGCTGCTCGCACTTCCTACCCTCCGCACCCGAAACCTTAGACCAAACCACCATCATGACGCACACCGAACACCCTATCGATACGCCGCCCCGTGCGCCCTCTCCCGTGCACCAGTTCGGCACCTTGGCCGTCCACGCAGGCTCTCCTCACGACCCCGTCACCGGCGCTGTCATTGCTCCTGTAAGCTGTTCTGATTCCGAGCCCCGCGCGGTTGTGTAGCGCCCCGCTCACGACTCTGATCTAGATTTCCCTCTCCACCACCTTCGCCCAGACGTCGGTTGGCAAGCCCGTTGGCGAGTATGAATACACCAGGAGCTCGAACCCGAACAGGTATGCTTTTCGCCTGCTCGCATCTCTCGCCCAGCTCGCGCTGACTGCGACCGCTACAGGGATAACTTCGAGAAAGCTATCGCCGCCCTTGAGCACGCCCGCTACGCCCTTGCCTTCTCCTCGGGCTCAACCACCACCGCCATCATTCTGCAATCTCTCGCCGCAGGCTCGCACGTCGTCTCTGTTTCTGACGTCTATGGCGGAACTCACCGCTACTTCACCAAGGTCGCCGCCGCACATGGCGTTCACGTCACATTCTCTCCGTCGATTGAGCTGGACATCGAGGACCTGATCCGTCCCAACGAGACAAAGCTGATCTGGATCGAGTCGCCCAGCAATCCTACGCTGAGCCTGGTGGATATCCGCGCTGTTGCTACCGTTGCACACAAGCATGGCATCCTGGTCGTTGTGGACAACACCTTCCTCTCTCCCTACGTCCAGAACCCTCTGGACCACGGTGCCGACATTGTTGTGCACAGCGTGACAAAGTACATCAACGGCCACTCGGACGTGCTGATGGGCGCCTGCGCTTTCAACTCGGACGCGCTGTTCGAGCGGCTGTCCTTCCTGCAGAACGCCATCGGCGGCGTCCCCAGCCCCTTCGACTGCTGGCTCGCCCACCGTGGTCTCAAGACGCTGCACTTGCGCGCCAGGGAGGCCACAACTAACGCAACCCAGATCGCCCACGCTCTTGAAGCCTCGCCACATGTCATCGCTGTCAACTACCCCGGCCTCGCTTCGCATCCTCAGCACCACATCACGGCTAAGCAGCACCGCAACGGCATGGGCGGCGGCATGCTTTCTTTCCGCATCAAGGGCGGCAAGGATGCCGCTGAGCGCTTCTGCCAGGCCACCAAGATCTTCACCCTCGCCGAGTCTCTGGGAGGCGTCGAGTCGTTGGTTGAGGTGCCCGGCAGCATGACGCACGCAGGCATCCCCAAGGAGCAGCGTGAGGCTGCTGGCGTCTTTGACGACCTCGTCAGGGTCAGCTGTGGTATTGAGGATGGAGAGGACTTGAAGAGGGATGTTTTGCAGGCGGTGGAGAAAGCCGCGGTTGGCGGCAAGCTCAACAACGGCACGGGTGTCTCCAATGGTTCTGCTTAAAGAGTTGTCCGAGTTAACGACCTGCATGATACCGGAACCCCTTCATTGATGGATAGACTTCACTACGGATAATTTCTTTCGGAGTTATTAGGAGTTTGAGGCATACTTGCATTAGCCATCTGGGCTTTGATAGAGCGTATGGTATTGGATAGATGCAACGATCTCTATTCCCATTTTCTGAAACACTTTTATTCAGTGGCTTTTTGGTTTCTCCTTCCCATATCCGAACAACAACAGCATTGCAGATGGCTTACAGTCAGGTCCAGCTGTCCATCGAACCCGTGGATATCATTGTATTGACTTTCTGATGTAGGCAACGCTGTACGGCAGGACAAATCGCAGGAGGATCCAAGGTGGTCCCCGCCTTTGAAGAATGCCCGGGTCCTTCGTTGTCTCGGACGCAGAAATGCGCGCTAACCAAGCCTTGTTGTACTGGGCGCTCACAGACAGACGAACGACTGCATTCCATACCTCGTTCCGCCGCCCAACCTCTTGAGACAAGTGTTGGGATCAAGTCTTCAAAAGGGCTTGAGCAGCCCCGAGCATGATGCCTGTCTTTGCATTTTCGGTCTACTTATCTTTTCCCCGCCTCTACGCTGTCGCAACATCTTCACTCGTCCGTCGTCTCGCTGCTTCTGAGGCAGATATCTTCATCCTCAGGCCTTCCACTATATACCATTTTTTTTTCGCCCGGACTTATTTGTTTGTGGAGGACCGGGCCACCACGTCGGCGGTCCAGTCGTTTCTCTGGCCGGCATTGACTCATTGGACGAACATCTTCACTCGCAGAAAGCAGTTGAAGAGGGAAAACAAGGGCAAGACAAGAAAGAAAAGGGTCCCAGAAGAGCACACCCATCAAACCCGCTCGGAATGGAATCGGAAATCCCCTCCAGCGATCACGGCTACTATGGAGAAGACGAAGACGAGGATGACGACAACGACGACGACAACGACGAAGAGGAGGAGGAGGATGAGGAAGAGGATGAGACCACCGACGACGTCCTCCTGGCGCTCTTCCGCCAGCGCACCGGGTGGACGGACTGGGGCACCCTGCAGCACGAGGCCGCGCTCGGCTGCCGCGTCGGCTGGCGGGAGTGGCTCGTGGCGTTCTCGCCCGCGTGGGAGTCGCCGTTCCTGGTGTTCGATTGCGGGAGGGCCGAGGAGTTTGTCTGGGGCTTGCGTGGCGTGGAGGAGCTGTGGGACGGGGTGGGGGGACGGGGACGGGGACGGGGACGGGGACGGGGCTGCGCTGCGGTGGAGGAGGTTGAGGAGAAAGGCGGCAGCTCGGAGTCGATCGAGGCGGGGGAGGATGGGGTCTTTGGTGGGCTTGCTTGTCGCGGAGGCGATGGATTGGATTCGGGTCGAGGATGGTTGTCGACGGTGCTTTCCGTTTTTTGCGTGCTTGTCTTTTTGTGGGGGTTGGGTGTCAATGAGCAGGCGCGCGGACGAGATACGAAAGAGGCACTGGATTACTCGGACTATATCGCCCAAAGGATATGTGTACTATCTCAGTCTGTAACAGAACGATGAAGCCAAACCGGGTTACGGGAGCAGTCGTGCAATGGACGTGTACTGACAGTCACGCGGAGCGGGTAGCTGCGCGCGCCAGGTACGCGACTGGGACCTTCGTCCCTAGGTGCAGAGCGACCGGACGACAAGAGGGCCCCTTCCGTGAAAGGCAGCCTTTACATCATCGGCCGCGCGTTGCGCTGATGCCCGCTGCTGCATCGACTCGATCCAACTCCCCCCCCTCCACCACCGTTTATCCAGCACATTGTTATCGTCGCACCAGCTTGCTACATCCCGCTCTTGGGCTCATCATCTTCTTACACTATTTTACGGGGTTTGTGAGCCAGTCGTTCGTGGCACCGCGCACCTCGTCCGTCGTGGACGGCCCTGGGACCAACAAGCCGTGCAGAGATCTAGCACACTTCGACACAGCTTTCCGGCGCACGGCGCTCTGCGTTTTTACATCCCATTCATTAACCCGCGCTTGTCATCAATCATGGCACCAAAGAGAGCCAAAGGTAAAGGCAAAGCCAAAGGCAAAGCCAAAGCCAAAGCCAAGGAGTCTGAACCGGCGAGGACCAAGGGGAGCAAGACAGCCGATCAGCTCTCCATGGACGAATTTTCCCGGGTCTTGAATGAGGCGGCCAAGGCGGACAAGCCGGCCAAGCGAGACGAGAGCTTTGAGGAGAGCCTGCCGTAAGCTCCCCGCCAGTCCGTCGTAACAACAGTATCTGCAGGTATTCGGATTGAGTGCAACGCTGACACGACGACCAAGTGCGCCGTTCCCCAAGCCTGGACCGAAACCTGTCGACCTAGACGATTCCAAAGCTAGCTCTACTGGTGAGTCTGAGCATATCAAGTATATCGCCGCTGTCGCGTTGCGTCAATAGTGACCACGGCGTCGCAGATTCCAGCCCGTCCGCCTTGATAGATAAGTCAGAGACGTACTCGCATTGGGCGGCCACACTATTAGACTCGCTTGCGACTGCACAGCAATCCCTATCGACGGCCAGGGGGACGGATAAAGATAATTCCCAGTTTTGGAATGCGTACCTCTTCACGACGGCCACTCTACTCGATCCAGTCAACAGGCTACCCCGGGACCTTAAGCATAGGTTGAAATCTGGCTTAGCGGGAGACATCTGCAACAAAGTCATGAAAAAGATGAGCCAGATTGGTATGGGACTTGAGAGTTCAGGGACTTCTCATGCTGACAGCTTGACAGAAAAGCTCTGGCGCCCTGGCGGCGTGCTGAACAAAATCTCTCTAAAAGAAGGGGCGAGTTCCGAGCGTATCAAAGCCTTGCTCGACGTTATTGGTGTGTTCACTTGCTTCTTGTTATCCTGGCACATAAGTTTTCTAACGCTTCGCAGATGTCTTCAACCGTGAATTCTTCCCAATGCGTCCCCCCTACTTCGAGAACAGAGAAACATTACATGGCCCTCGCCTGGACGTTTTGCGCCATGAAATGGTAGAATGGGTCGTTGAAAATGGTATCGTAGCTCGCAGTCTTGTTTCTTCTGCGAAATTCAAGCTGACTGGCCTCCTACACAGATAAGAGGCGCGAGGGCCAGACCGGCGCTCGCAACTTTAGAGAGACGTTCAAGAATATGGTCATGGCCCCCGAAAATGCCGTTGAGGTGCTGGAAGGCTACATGGAGCCAGAGCGGAGGCTTGCGGAGGAGAAAGGCGTTGGTCCTGAGGTTGACCTTTTAATCACTCAACTCGGTATCGTACCCTCTCCCCTCAATCCTTCCCAATCAGACTTCCCGACTAACTCTACTACAGCTGGTCATCACCTGACTGGGCATATCATAGCCGTCGAAGCCGTGAGGCGCTGTATAGACGACTGTATAGCGCACCCGGAAGAGCCGGACCTTCATGGTGGAATGGGTATTGGCAAAAACGCAGCCCTCTCGTACTCTTGTTTTGAACCTGCAATCCTTGACTAAACATCAGTCCCTAGTGCCGCTACCCCCTACGATCGAGCTTGGCGAGAAAGGGTACTATGCCACGCGTCGCCCGAATGAAGCTTATGGGGATGGCCTTGCCCCTGCCAAGCGTGTGCTCTTCTGCCACTGCGACGACTGCGCGAGCGCCCGTTCCTCTCGACTCTTGGATTCGGAAAAAGCTACATCAGGTAAAGAAGACGCCAACATCTCCATCGAACAGAAACGTAACGAAGCCGGAGACGTCACCGGTGGCGGCCAAGAACAAGGTGTAAGCAGCGGCGCACCTTCGCAGGATCCCGCCTGGGCCAAGTGGGTTCGTTTGTACAAGCGGCCCTACGAAGCGCCCTTCAAGGTGTTCGATGCGGATGAATGCAAAATCGAGGAGGAGCCTGAAGGTGACAAGGCACGAGAAAACCTAGTGGAAAACCCTGACACCAAGGAGGAAACTCCGAAGCCTGAAGGTGACAAAGCACGAGAAAACCTAGTGGAAAACCCTGACACCAAGGAGGAAGCTCCGAAGAAGAAGGGGAATAGGAAAAGGAATAGGAACAGGAAAAAGAATAAGAAAGGGAAGAAGGAGGAGAAGGTAGAGGAGGGGGAAGAGGAGGAGGAAGAGGGGGAGAAGAAGGGAGAGGAGGAGGTAGAGGAGGAGGGGGAAGAGGAAGATCCGGGAACCGAAAACATCACGGGCCTACCAGTATCCACTGCTGCTACTGCTCGAGGCTTGCCAGCTGATTTCTTCGTGGCGGAGGATGAGGAGGAGCCCGGAGAGATTGGACAATATTTCAAAGAGGATAAACAGGAGTCTAGAGAGGTGCGGCCGCAGCCTGGCCCGCAGCCTGGCATGCAACTACAGCAAAACGCGGATGAACCTCTTCCCGAAGACTTATCTGCATTACCTAAGAGCGAGGACCTGGCGGCCAATCAGCACAATAACGACACCAAACCCCTCGACACGGGTAACCCCTTTCCCGAAGACTTGTCTAAATTGCCTGGAAGCGAGGACCTGGCGACTAGCCAGCACGATAGTGGCGCTAAGCCCCTCAACACTACTAAACCCCTCGAGACGGATGACCCTCTTCCAAAAGCCTTGCCTGCAGGGGTTGAGAGCGAGGGTTTGGCGGCTAGCCAGCAGGGTAGCGACGCTAAACGGGAACCGCTCAAGAGGGAGCTCGCCCTCGTTAAATACGTACCTGGCCTTTTCCAAAATCTAATGACCAGCACGAACCGCAGCGAGAGCAAACCCCTCGACATGCGCGACCCCCTTCTCAAACGCTTGCCTGCGGTCGCAGACCCGGCCGCATACCAGCACGACTACACGGCCGAGTCCCACGAAACGGGCGGACCGCCTCTCGAAGAAGCCGGTTTATCTCACGAGACGATCCAGGAACGGGGCTTCGCAGAAGAAGGAGGAGGAGGAGGAGGAAAAGAAAAAGAAACATCGACGGGCGACTGGCCCCCTCCTCCTCTTCCTGGCGCAGTTCATCCTCCTCGGCCGGACGCCCTCCCAGCACCGACGGCGCATCGCCCCAACCACGCCGGGCTCCTGGCCGGTGGTGCCCCGTGGGGTCGGCGAGAGGACTCGGACTCCTCGCGGCGCTTCGAGCGCACGAGGGAGGAGCGCATCCATGATGACGCCTTCGCGAGGGCTCAGGCCGAGCGGCAGGAGATGGACAAGATGAAAGCCGAGTGGGAGAGCCGGATGGAGTGGGCGAACGCCCAGTGGAGGGGCCGGATGGAGCAGGCGTACGACGAGTGGAGGACCCGGATGGACTGGGCGAAGAAGGAGTGGGAGGAACGGATGAACGGGCGCTCCTGGGCCCACCATGTCGAGGTTGCGAGTTTGGAGGAGAGGCTTGCCGAGTCGGAGAGGAGGAATGCCGAGTTGGAGAGGAGGAATGCCGAGTTGGAGAGGAGGGTTGTCGAGTTGGAGAGGAGGGTTGCCGAGTCGGAGAGGAGGAATGCCGAGTGGGAGCAATTGGTGGACCGGCGCTGCGGGGCCTACGAAACCGAGATTGATGGTTTGAAGGAGAGGATTGCCGAGTTGACGGCGCCTGGCGAGGGATATAAAAGGAGAGTGGGTGGCTGGTTGAGTGACTAAGTAGTATTCTGTGGATTAGTTTCTGGGCCTTCATTAGGATAGTGCATTCTTTAATATATACTACTCAGTCGTTAACTGACAGCTGAAGGAAAGACCCAGGACGCAGACATGAGCAGTAAACTATCTATGTGTATCTAGACATGGGATTCGACTGCCCTTGTAAGTTAGATTGCAATAATGCCGCGGGTGCGGTTGATGACTTGTTGCAGTCAGCCGTGGAAAGGGCGGTACACACGTTGGGACTGAAGCGGGAGGGACCAGGCAGGTCTGGAACAGCACTTGATGGTATTTCTACAAAAACTCTCTTTCTCTCCTTCTCTCTCTAAGAGGGCGACGGCGGGACGCCGGTGGGAGCTCTGGCGCCACCCAGCTTGGTGGGGTCCTGCTCGGCCTTGAGAGTGCCGTTCCGGAGGGCCTCGAGCTTCTTGGCGTTCTCCTCGTAGTTGGCCTTCTCGTAGTGCTGGATGACCTTGGTGAGGTCGGCCTGGGAGCCGGCGGGGACGTTGTACGGCGAGCCCGAGTTGAATGCCCTGTTTGCGTCCGGTCAGCATGATGGGCGAGGAAGAAGAGGAGAAGTCGGGCTCACTCGGGGAAAGTCAGGTCGACGTGGCGGCGCGGGGTGGCGTTGAGGAAGAGGTGGCGGTCGAAGGCGGCCTGCTCGATGGCATCGGTGTGCAGCTTGTTGCGCTCGGCCCAGGTGGCACGGTAGTCGGCGTACATGTCGACCATGCGGGTGAAGTAGGGCTTGCGGCCGCCGACGGGGTCGCTCGGGGTGCCGGTCCACTGGTACAGCAGGAAGCCGGCGGGGATGGCGCTGATGGCGACGTAGAAGCCCGTCTGTCACATTTCCGTTATACATGTGTGAATTGCAGCATTGGGGAGCCGGGCGGGAGCCATTGGAGCGGGACTGTGTGTGTATGTGTGCGCGGGCGAGCTAGAGCGGGCATGGGGGAGCGGATGTCGGGGATGGTGCGGGTGCGGAGGTAGCTATGGGCAGGGCGTACGCTGAAGTGCTCCTCCTTCGGGCCGTGGTGGGCGTCGGCGTGATGGTGGGCGTCGTGCGAGGCGGGGCGGCGCGATTGGCGGGCGATGGTGGCGCGCGGGGCCTGGGCGGCCCTCGCTGCGCTTCTGCGGACGGCGAACATGGCGGGGGTGGAGGGCGCGGTGATGGGGTGGAATCAAGCGCGGCCGCGCGTGGGATGCGATGATGTTGGAAGCTTTAGTTGAGCTGCCATTCGCCGACATCCGTGCCGTCACGTGAATCCCTCCCCATCTTCTCTCCGCGACACATCCCTCCCCCACCCATCACAACCTTCGCCGACTCATTTGCAAATCTCGACAGCAGACTCGGGCTCGATGAGGCCCTTGTGAGCAGAATCATCACCCGCCCACGCCAAGGTCGGCACCCGTCCATCGACCTTCCTCGACCCTCCGTCTCGCGTGCAGCTTGACTTGTCAATAGGCAACCACAACGAGCCTGCACAGACCTGTCAAGTGAAGTCTGGCCTATAGGCATCGATAGGCGTCCATGACTCACTCCTCGCTGAATATCGAGTGGGTTGGTACGCATCACCAAAACTTGGGGACAATCATACTTTCGTTTGCTTATGTAATCACGACTTACCAGACAGCAGCTCTCTTTTGAACCGCTTTGGCAACGAAGATGACTTCCCAGACTTGCTTTGACCGAATCGGCAGAATGCGCTGCTGCCGCAAACCCAAAAGCGCCCCTTCCGTTCCCGTGGACAAGAATCTGATCCAGACATGGACGCACAACAATATCGCATGAAGAAATCAACAATACATGACACAGTCTCATCATACACACACATTCCCAACAGAAAGAAAGAAAGAAAAAAACTCCCCCGCCTCATGTACAAACTCCTCACAACCACCCCTCTCCACCACTCCCACTCCCTCGCCCTCGCCCTCGCCCTCGCCCTCGCCCTCTCCCACCCGGCCCTCCCCTACCATCACCACCACCATGACCATACCCCTCACCATCATCAATGTTACCACCCTCATAAACAGCCCTGACCCCCGGCCCCGCCGCCGCCCCCGCCGCGACCCTCACATACCCCCGCACGGCCGGCTGCCGCTGCCGCTGCCGCTGCCGCTGCTCGCCCCCCGCCAGCTCGCCCCCCGCCAGCTCGCCCCCCGCCAGCTCCGCCTGCCCGACCACGCGGATCGTCTTCTTCATCTCCTGCTGCCGCCTCTCGCGCTGGCGCGCACGGTGCGCCTCGACCGCTTTCCTGTACAGCGACAAGTGGTGCCGGTGCTGTTCTTGCGGTCGTCGCCCATTTAGGGCGTCGGCGACGCTCTGCTGCTTGTCGGGCGTTGTCAACGATGATGACGATGATGATGACGACGATGGCGACAATGAGGAGGTGGAGGGGTAGGAGGAGGAGAGGGGAGAAGGGGAGTGCGAGCGGTATGGGGAGAGGGAGTGGGAGTGGGAGTGGGAAGAAGAAGCGGGCCGGACCGCTGCGGCTGCTAGGCTGCGGATTTGCGGTGGCGGGGTCGTGGTGGTGGTGCTACTGCTGCTGCTCTCACCACCGCCGCTTCTTCGGTTCTTCTTCTTCTTCTTCTTTTCCTTCCTCTCCTTCTTCCCGCCGGATGACGCCGTATCGATGGGCGGCTTCTCGTGCACGAACGGTAGCCTTGTGTCGCCACTGCCGACTCTACCACCGCCTTCGCCTGCTTTCCCCAGTCCCAGCGCGTGAAGCAGGGCGATACGGGGCGTGGACGAGGATGTCTTATGCCGGCGTCGGTGCGGTGATGATGACGGTGCTGAGGCTGGGGTGGGGGGACCGGACGACATCTTGCGGGGGTATGTTGGGCGGGCGGGTGCTGAGACCAGCGATGTGGTAGAGGGAGAGGGAGACTGAGAGGGAGAGGGAGATTGGGAAGAAAAGAGCTCGGTGCGAGTGAGGCCGCCGCGGGCGAGCGGAGAGGGGGTGGGCGGTTTGGTGCTGAAGGCTGCCGCCGCGCTGCTTGGAGACGGGCGTGGGGCTTTCGGGTAGGAGTAGGAGGACGAAGTTGTTGCTGAGGGGCTGTGGGAGATGGAGCGCGGATGCGGAGGGGTGTTGAGGGGAATTGTCGAAAAGGAGCCGTTGGGCGTAGCTGGGGCCCGCGATGCTGCTGCGGGAACGAGAGCCGTGCTCGCGTTGAGCCGGCGACCGCGCTCTACGGACGGGCGGGGGGACGAGGTCAGGGTCAGTGTGAGCGGAGGCGCTGCGTGTCCTGTCTGTTCGTTCTTTCCCTTCTTCCCCCTCGTTTTCTTTCTCTTCGACTTCCCGCGTCTCACCGTGTAGACGCCCGACTGAAGGCGTGCAGCAGGGAAGGCTCGGCTCCTCGGCGCCCGCTGCGATCGAAACTGCGCGACGTCGGCGCCGGCGGCTCGTTCCCCGAAATTTCCGTGGTGTGGCGGCGGGGAGATGGGTATCTCGCCGCTCCGGGAGCTCTCGGCGCTGAGGTTCCGGCGGTGGTGGCTGTGGTGGTGCTGCGACGGCAGGATCATGTTGAGCGTGCCGGCCGCGAGCGCCGGGAGCTTCTCGCGGATGCTGGACCTTCGGCGGCCGCGAGGAGGCTCGTCGTAGTGGTCTTCCGGGAACGGACTGCTCCTGTCGACGACGTCGTAGCGGTCTGTGGTGGCATCTTTCCGCGGGTTGAGCGGGAGCGGTATCAGACTGTCATCGTCGGCTCCTCTCCCTCTACTCAACTTCGGATACGGCGGAGTCCTGAAGGCTTCACGCTGCTGCGGTCGCTCTCCTTCTTCATCGGCAGCAGCACCACCATCGAAGACTTCTGTCGAGGGAGAAACAAGCTCGCGGTACTGCTCGACAAGGGCTTGGTGGTAGTCCTGCGAAAGCCTGTCCTTGCGGATGCGCGCCGTCTCCTCAACGTCCTCCTCCCACTCGTCGTCCGCGCCGGGGGCGGCGCTGCGAGGCACGAGTCTCCGCGACGAGGTGGACGCTGTTGGCTGGTGGTGGTGGTGGTGCAGCGAGAAGTCGTCCGTCCACGGCGAGACCGGGCTGGTCAGGCTGAAAGGAGAAATAACAAACGATGCTTCGGGGACAGTCGTCGTTGGGCTAGCAGGGCTAATGGTCGGCAGCGGTGTTTGCGGCGGTTTGCTGGAGGCCAGACTCGGCGGGAACTCGACACGGTGGCTCTCGTACTCGAAGGCGGGCGTCCTCAGTTCCGGGCTCGGCTCTCGCGAAGGGTCGGGAATGAGCAGTTCGAACCTCCTCGGCTGGTGGGATTCCGCTGGCTTGGACTGGTAGGTTGCGGGCTGCAGGAAGAAGTCTCTGGACGGCTCGATGGCGCGCTCGCCGGCCGTTTCATCCTCGGCCATCCATGGTTTCGAGGGTGGCGGTGGTGTGCGTCTCATGAAGTCGCGGAAGGACGGTATGCTCTGCTCCATGCCGCCGAGTGCAGATCCAAAGACAGGCGCAGTAGGTGGACCACGGTCCTTGGCGCGGGACATGCTTGGTACACGGCACTACGAAACGGGTTGCAAAATGACTTGGGATGTTGCAGAAGCTGCGGCTGGGAAAAAACGGTCGCGAAGCGTCCTGCTTCGCAACAAAGAGCAGCATCTGGGCACATTCCGGAAAGAGACAAAGGGAAATGGACGGCGAGTGAAAGGCGACATGCTATTCACAAACACGCGCTGAAACCGACTTTTGAAATAATGTTAGCGCATGACCCGATGGCTGGCTACGTCGTGGTGTTTGCTCGCAGACTCGAGCTTTGTGGCCTTGTTGCTGCCTGGCACGTCGAGTTGAAGCAAACATGTTTCAGCAACCACGATACCATCGAGACTCGTCCGGTTTGGTGTGGAGTTGAGGCTGGCCGAAGACGGGGAACGGGTTGGGCCGAATGGCAGAAGCGAGCACGTGAAGTGGGCTTGGGCCGGGCCAACTCTAGACCGGCAGCTGTGAATCCTTCCGGCACTTTCCCCATCGTCCGCGCACCACTCCCACCACTCTTCCCACCCGGGCCAACGTCTTGCCGCCACGCGCGAGTCCCGGCCCACTTGCCCGCAGCCCACCGCGCGCGTGCGGGCCGATGGCGTCGCCGAGGAGGCTGAATTCGGTCAACCATGGTCATCTTCGTCTCGTCAGCCTTCGGTAACTCCGTGCATGCAGCCAGGAGATCTCCGCGTCGCGCTTTCGCTGCCGGAGCAATGCCTGGCACGGCCATGAGGATAGCCCGACTTGCACTGCACCATGGGTGCACAGTAGACCCATAAGACATGCGACAATGCCTTTATCTGAAGTGCACCATCGCCTTCCAGTCCTCCACCGGGCACTACGAAGCCAACCCCTCAACTGTCTTCGCCTATCAGTCCCCTATCAGTCCTTGGACTTCAACAAGGTGGCGAGCTGACCTGGCTGCGTTAACCCTCAGCTTTTTCAGCCACTTCATTTCAGCCACGCGGCCGTGCACCCACACCCGGTCCCACGTCTCTTGGACGCCTGCTACAAAAGGAATCCGATACCTGGTACCTTGATACCTCTTCAGGTACCCACTGGCCTCTGCATCTTGCGCTTCCACTGCTCACGGCTTGCCCATCATGTCAGTACCCCACTCGGAAGTCGCCTCGATGAAGTCGGGAATGTCCAAGGACGATGCACCATCAATGGAGGACGTCCCCATCGAGCCGAGCAAGCAGAGCCCACCCGAGCAGCCTGCATTCAACCCCAACTGGCGCTTCTACGTCGCCTTCTGCTCGCTCTCCGTCATCACTCTGATGGCTGCCCTCGATGCCACCAGCATCTCCGTCGCGCTCTCGGTAAGCTCCTCTCCTCTCACCACTCACACCAGCCCCCATCACTGACCACCCCGCCCCGCAGATCATGGCCAAGCTCCTCAAAGGCTCCGCCATCGAAGCCTTCTGGGCCGGCACCTCCTTCCTCCTGACCTGCACCGTCTTCCAGCCCGTGCTGGGCTCCTTCAGCGACGTCTTCGGCCGCAAGCCCATCATCTTCCTGTCTCTCGCCCTCTTCGGCGCCGGCGCCATCGTCTCCGCCGTCGCCAACAACTTCACCGTCATCCTCGTCGGCCGCAGCATCCAGGGCATCGGCGGCGGCGGCATCATCGTCCTCACCGAGATCGTCGTCACCGACCTCGTCCCCCTGCGCGAGCGCGGCAAGTGGTTCAGCCTCATCAGCGCCAATTGGGCGCTGGGCACCGTCTTCGGGCCCCTCCTCGGCGGCGGCTTCGCCGAGAAGGTCAGCTGGCGCTGGATCTTCTGGATCAACCTGCCCTTCATCGCCGTCGGCGTCCCCCTCGTCGCCTTCTTCCTCACCCTCCACTTCAAGCCCACCTCGCTCCTCCACAAGCTCGCCCGCATCGACTGGCCCGGCGTCGTCGTCTTCGTCGCCGCCACCACCGGCCTGCTCATCCCCATCACCTGGGGCGGCGTGCAGTACGCGTGGTCGTCGTGGCGCACGCTCGTGCCGCTCCTCGTCTGCGCCGCCGCCCTCGTCGGCTTCGTCGTCTACGAGGACCGCTACGCCGCCAACCCGCTCATCCAGACGCGCGTCTTCAAGAACCGCACCGCCGCCTCCACCTTCGCCCAGACCGTCCTGCACGGCCTCGTCCTCTGGTCCGAGCTGTACTACGCGCCGCTCTACTACGAGGCCGTCAAGGGCTACTCGCCCGTCCTCGCCGGCGTCGCCCTCTTCCCGCAGACCTTCACCGTCGCCCCCGCCGCCATGGCCGTCGGCTTCCTCATCGCCCACACGGGCCGCTACCGCTGGGCCCTCTGGAGCGGCTGGCTCCTCACGACCTTGGGCCTCGGCCTCCTCGTCTACCTCGACGTCGACACCCCCGCGTCGTCGTGGATCCCGCTCAACCTCGTGCCGGGAGTGGGAACGGGGATACTTTTCCCCTCCATGGGCATGGCCGTCCAGGCCGCCAGCGCCGCGCGCGACCAGGCCGCCGCCGTCACAATGTTCGCGTTCCTCCGCGCCCTCGGCCAGACGCTCGGCGTCGCCATCGGCGGCGTCGTCTTCCAGAACCAGATTCGCCAGCGGCTGCTGCGGTTCCCGTTGCTGGCGTCGAGCGCGGAAAGCTTGTCGCGCGACGCCAGCGGCCTCGTCGAGGTGATCAAGAGCATGGACGACGCGGATCCCGCCAAGGGGCAGCTCAAGGAGGCGTACGTCTACGGCTTGCGCCGCGTGTGGGTCGTCATGTGCGCGCTCGCGGCCGTGGCGCTCGTCGCGAGCTTCTTCGTCGAGGGCCTGCCGCTCGATCAGGCGCTGGCGACGGAGCAGGGGTTCAGGAACGAGGGGCACGAGGGGGTCGGGGGGGTCGAGGATGAGGAGAAGCGGGGGGAGCGGGGCGGTCGGGGAGAGACTGTAGCCCCCTCCTCGGCCGGGGGGAGGGTCTGAGCGGGGAGGGTCCTTGCGAATGAATCCAGCGTGTGGTAATGACTGATGAGCTCGAGTAATATAGATGGATGGGTGGGGGCATTCGGCGGGGTCGGAAAAGGGAGTGACTTCTTCTTTTTCTTTTTTTTATATCGTCTTTTAGATTCCCAGCATACCGTTGCGCTCTTCTTTTCTTTCCGCCGGTATGCAATCTTCTTTTCCGATCATAGAATACTAATTGGATTTGGCTCACGTAGAGAGAGTATTTGCACGAGTATTTGTCACACCGTTCAAGAGATTGAGGCACGTCAAATGACCATGTGTATTGTATTATAGCCATCAGTTCCTTGTTATCCCCTTGTGGATGCGAGCATCCCAGTTTCCCCATTTTGCATGCACATGTTAACCAACATGTGAGAGCAGCGCAGCTCGACGCTGCCAGATCCGTGTGCTAATGGCCACCTCACTTTTCGCACGGGGTAGTGGTGGCGCTCTGGTTCCAACTCGTCGAGAAAGTTGGGGTCGGAGGAAGAGGGCAGTTGAGAGCGAGGGCTGGTGGTGTCAGTGGGTGATGCATGGCTGTCGGGGTTCAACAACGGGGACATACCTTGGGCGTAGAGGCGGTACGTGTCGGCATTTTCGACAGCGTACATGGCCTCCAGGTCGGCTGCACCACCAGACAGGAGGGTGGCGTAGTCGCGGGTCGGTGGGTCGTAGATGTTGCGCAGGTGCGAGAGTTCGTGGATCACTATGCCTGTCATGTCGACGTCGCCACAGGTCTGAGTGAGGGCAGGGAAGCCATGGGCAGGGTCGCAGAGGCAGATGAGGTTGTAGTCATCGAAGGCGTAGGCGGCAGACCAGCCAGAGGGCTTTATGTAGCAGAAACCCAGGACGTCCTCACAGTGAAACTTGATGGAACCTCGCTCGATGGCTTCGCACTGGTCGGCAATGGATTGGAATCGGGCAATGACTCTGTCCTTGTGCACCTGTTCGTCGGTGTGGAAATAGCGTTTGAACTGCTTGCTCGTGTCTTTCAGTTCGGCATCGTCAACAGCAGCATCGGCCTGGTTGGCGCAGCCACCGTCGCCGACAATAGCAGCCTCGACTCTGTCAAGAAGATCGTTCTCGCAGCTGCTTGCGACGTCGACGCCCGTGACCAATGAGTGAAACTTGGTGCGAGCCGTCAAGATCTTGCCGTCCACAATCGGTGCGATGTCGATGGCGAGAGTATTGCTGGTGAAGGCTACGGCATCGCCCTTGAGAGAGGTTGAGTTGCCTTCAGCGTAGGGAATGGATCCAATGGCAACCACGGTAAAGGCGCCACCGGCGTTGAGATCATACTCTTCAGAAGCGTCAAAGTAAACAACGACCGAGTTGCCGATGGAGAGGTGAACAAAGTCGCCAGAGGTGTAGTTGCCTGGGCCGGGAGGCGAGAACCTGACGCCCTCGAAGGGGAGCAGCACACCTTTCTAGTATCATTAGCATGCTCTTTGACGGGTACCAGTCGACAACTCACCCTGGGATAGCATGAAGACCTTCTGAATCGGGGCGTCGCCCAGAATCGTCGCCTTGTTGAAGAGGTTGAGGTCACACTGGCCAGTGTTGGTGATGATGGCCTCCATGACCGTACGGCCGACCGAGCTCAGCGTGACATTGACTTGGCCGGTGCATGCAGCGAGGGTTGCCAGCGCCAGCAGGCAGAGCTGGAGAATGAGCTTCATGGTTGCGTGGTCAGGTGAGAAGTGAGTGTGCAGAGTAGCGATGGAATCAAAACGATTGCTTGAAGATGATGGTGAAGGAGGAGGGAGGGAGGGAGGAGAAGCTGAGGGCGGGAGGTATTTAAGCGGCTCTCTGACTGTCGGGTGGCGGGCGTGACCAAAACAGGAAGTGACGACGAGGCACACAAGGAAGGCGCGTTTGAACCTCCCATCAAGTGACCTGCTGCACGTGATAACACCCACTCGCCTGTCGCAGTTGTGCCTGGAGTCACAACTCATCACCCTTTCCCATATTTACAAGCAGCCCTACTCACTTCTTTCGCGCCACCATGGCGTTTCCCCAGTCTGTTCGCTGTGGTTCTGGTCTGGATCGTTATTTGTTCAGGGACGTTACTGGATCTTTCAGAATTCAGACTGCATTGTCACGGGCGGCGTGGCGAGCTGGATGCTGATGTGTTGGTGTAAAAAAGCTCGGGCGCATTAGGTGAGGTTGCACTGCCTGCCAATCCTTTGAATCACAGCGTATGTACTGCGCCTTGGTGTGGCGTAAAGCGAATCCTTCGCGTGTCTTGCCGTTGGCTACCCATCACCCAAGATATAAATCATTGAAAGCCGCAGAATCATGCTTGTCTGATTTTCTGCCCTCGCTCGGGTCTCGCACAATCACATCTCCTCGCCGGCGCCGCCGCCACCACCAAGTCCAAGATGGCCAGCTTTTGTAGCCATTTCACAACGACCGCACAACACATCTGGTCTCTGATAAAATGGAAGCCCAGAGCCCTCACCGAACTTTACGAGCGCGAAGCCGACCCGCGCGCACGCTTCCTTGCATACACCGTTCTTTACCCACTGATGGCATACTCGTGCGCGGTCCTGACCTTCATCGACGCCACCAGTCTCTACAAGGGCCCTCCACCCACAATCCGTATCAGCGTCAACGGTGTCGAGCAAGAGAGCTACGCATTCTACAAAGCCGACGACGCCGCGCCGGGAAAAGTGAGCACGACCTCTGTCAAGTTTCTAAGGATCAATTGACCATGTGCGCAGTACGCCCGCTTCGCCCACGTTGCCCGCCAGCCCATCCCGAACTGGCTGATGCCGCCACCCGACATGTTCTACGTGGTGTTTTTCTTCTTTCAACTTCTCCACAGCTGGGAGTATCCGCTCGGCCGCCATCGGAGTCACCGTCTGAGGTCCCCCTACCAATGGGCCGTCCAGGTTGCCAGTGGCGCTGTGGTCCAACAGTTTCTGATGGCTCGCAACCATGGCTGGAGGACCTTGATTTGCGTCGTTGTACCATGGAAGATGCTGCTCGGATCCATACTGGGTACGCTGCTGCATTGTTGTGGACGGGAACGGTGGTTGAACGACAGAGAAGTAGAGGAACCGGCGGAAGCTGAGAATGTCGGAAGCACGGATCCAAGCCAGAAGAGCCTCCAGGAGCGGGAGAGAAGTCCGGATGACGTGTGGATCTGAGGATAGGTTTGCGCATGGACTTGGGGCATTCGTCCGAATCATGGCTGATGCATTGCACCTTCCACATGAAACTGGGGGTATTAAAATATGTTGAACTGAGTGTCCACACGATAAACATCGCGAAAACATTGGTCCTGGGCTGGGCAACTGAGTGATTGTTAGCTTACGAAGGAAGTCGATGGGGGGGATACTTACTCAACAGCTGGTTTCCCGAAGATTATGTGCCAGAGATACTCTATGATGCGGCCGCTCAAGTCGTCCTCCAGGGGGGTGTCTATTATCCATTTCCTATAGCGCACATAGTCATCCAACGGCCGCTTCAAGACCTGGTCCCTTGACACGGCGAACTGGGCACAGCAAGCCGCACCGATGACGTCGGGCACGTCAGAGTTTCCGAAAAGGTCCTGCCAAGCTTCCAGCATATGGTTCTCGCTCGTTCTGGACGGGTCAAACGGGTCTCGGAAAGGCTGAATCTCGTCAGGGCATCCGGGGATGTGTGTACAACGCAGGTTCGCGTAGCCTGTCTCTTGGACGAAGTCGAGATTCAGGTTCTCAACGCTCCAGACGTTACTGTGGTTCGGCGCATCGGTATGCCAACCACCTGGATAGCCGTCTTGGTGGGGGTGAAGGAAGACGATCGTCTTTGGAAGATTGTGGTAGTTTTCAATGATGTAGGTCAGGTAAGGATTTGCCTCTCGACCCTTGTTCATGGGCGTATGAAGCGGTGCGCTTTGATTGTCGACAATGTATATAGCGTTCTGCCAGCTGGAACAGTGTCAGCATCCTGTAAAATGTGCATGGCAGGAAGGAATCATACTCGGGTAATTTCTCGCTGACCCAATCAGTGTTCTCTGACTGTAGCTTTCCGATGACAACAATGCCATCTACTGAGCCCTCGGCCGGTTCGCTGGGCGCTGCTGCGGCGGTCTGGTCCAGTGACTCTTCTGACGTTGGCGTATCGTCAGGCGCCGCGACTACCACTGTTGGCGACGTAGACGGCACTCCTCCATGACTTGGCGGAACAGGCGTTGCCGAAGGGGCATCCGGAATTTCTGGCACTTCTGGTCTCATGCCAACACCCGGCAAGCTGTCCCCAAGGCTCCAGGAGACCCACGACTCAGTCGTGCGGCTGAGGTTGTACAGGAACAGGACGGAGAACAACACGAGGGCCACGGCCGCCAGCCGGTAGGAGAGTCTCATGGGTGGAGCAAGCATGTTGGCGACGAGGTCAATGTACTCGCCGTGTACATGGGCGGTGGAGTGGATGATAAAGTGATTCAGCAGCTGCGCCTTTTCACATGGGAGCTAGTGTTACGCCACCGGGGTCGCGGCGCCAAAGAGGCGTCTAAATAGGGCAGTCGCCCCCAAACCGGGTAGTGCCGCGGATTCCGTTCTTGGGGCTGTGGAGATGAACCACCAAGCGATGGGCCCGCAATCACGCCAGACGCTGTGCCGCAATATTTGCCATGCGACCAGGTCCATGAAGCTGGCTTCTGGAATCTGCTCAACTAGTGTCCATAAGGAATGCATCGCCTTGCATGATCCCTACGTACTCTTGGTTTGCGGTACCATGGACAAGTAGACACAAATAGGTACGAAGACTGTGAACTGGGCCCGCCTCGATTGAAGCCGAGTAGTCGGTTGTCAACCACGCCGCTTGGAAAACACTTATCAATTGGGGTCCGTGTGCTTCCCCCTGGCCAATCACACGCTGCATCCATGCGCCGGGTGAAGCAGATCTTGGACCCTAAAATTGCAACCGGCGCCTTTCATCACAGCTGGCCCCAGCTTCGAGAACACCGCCGCATCCCAACTGTCATCAGCCGCAGTGGTGCCTGAAGAACGAAGAAAGCAGACCAATCACAACACAACAAGACATGCAATACCTATTATACAGATCAAAATCGCAGCCCCACCCACCACAAACTACGTAGGTAGTACTCCCCCTCCGCTCCTCCTCACCTCCTCCGCTCCTCCTCCTCACCTCCTCACCTCCGCGCCCCCGCCGCCGCCGCCCTCTCCCTCACCCTCTCCGCCGCGCACTGCTGCAGCCTCGCCGCCAACCCATCCACCTTCGTCGCGCGGCAGTCGGGGCACGCGTGCGCGGCGTGGCGGCGCTCGACGACGCGGAAGCGGGGGCAGCGCTCGAAGAGGCGGGGCGCGTCGAGCGGCGGCGCATTATTGTATGGAACGTCGCCGTTGCCGTTGAGGGCGCGGCTGCACGGCTCGATGCGGCGGCGGGCGGCGGCGACGGCGCCGCCCCGTGGGTGGCCGCAGCGGTAGAGGTGGAGGGTTTCGGTGCACATTGATTGGTGGTGGTGTTTTCTTTTGTCGTTTGGCCGGCCGCGTTGTGGGTGTTTTCTCTATGTTTCTTTCTGTCTCTTTCTCTCTCCGGTATCCTTTTTTTTTGGTTTGTTCGTTTGTTTGTTTGTTTGTCTTGCGGGGCGGAGGGATACGGGGTTTTTGCTTTGGGTTTTCGTTGTTTGGCTGAGTTAGGTGGAGGATGAGAAAAATGGCGTAGGGCTTTCGCGCTTGTTTGACAACGGCGGCGAGCTCGACTCTGCAATGGTTCGGAGAGGCTCCCTGCTTTTTGATTCGCGGCTGGCTGTATAGCACGTTAGCGTTGCGGTGTCGCGGACTTTGATGGATGGATGGATGGACGGACGGACACTTGACGAGCTTGGCCGCCCTAAGAGACTGAGCCGTGAACCCGTGTGTTTGAGGCTGAAGAGGTCGTACAAGACTACCGGGGGGGAAAGGCGGCTGGCTGCGGACCGGCGCGATTTAATAAAGCGTTGGGTTGCGTGCTACTCACGCTTTCCGCGTACGACTCAAAACGAAACCGCACGCTGCAAAGTGCAAATCATCCACTCCGGCCGATCACATCGCGACTGCGATAACGGAAGAGGTAATATCTACGAGGACCAGCCAATAGAAACTCGGAATGAGAGTAGGGGGCATGCAAACACATGACAGCCTGACGCTAAAAGTACTCGGATGTGCTCGGACACGAAGCACTCTGAACATCCACCGTATACCTACATCGCAGCCACCCAACCCTAGGCACCAGATGCACGCGCGGCATTCGCTGCCTCGCAACCCAAACGCGGCTCCGTCAGTCGTCGATCAAGCGCCACCAGCTGCCTTCTCGCCGAAAGTAAGGCCAAACAAGGATTATCTATTGGTGCCCGAAGACGGTTTCCCCAGACCAGGGTCGGGGCGCTTTTCACAAGCATCTTGTCGTAATGTGAGGCGAGCGCCACTGACTCGACGGCTCCTCTTCTCGCCTCACGCCCGTCACCGCCAGATCTTGGACGACTATAACATGACTTCTTCCTCCAACGTACGGGTCCTCCCTCCCCTGCTTGCGTGAGGCCGAGATTATTGTTTCGCCGTCTGAACTATTGATACAACAACGCCGCCGCCTGCCGTTCCCCGGATATACTGATCGCACACGTCGCTACAAGATTCGTCAAAACAGAAGCAGACGGGAGTACTCTCGTGCGTGAAGAATGCCATCTCTCACGCCTCCCGCTTTCCAGATTTCCAGCTTTCAGAAATACAAACATTAACAAACGGTAGCCCATGCCGGGATACCAGCACGTGCTTGCCCCCTCCTCCCCTGCCTCCCATCACACTCCCAAAACCACAAAGACAAGATATTCGTTCGTCTCTTCGTATCTCTTTCCTCTCCCCTCCATCTCTTTCTCCCAGCCTCCACCCCCACAAAAGAGAGGGGAAAAAAAAGGTAAAAACCAAAAAAGATCAACTCATCCATCCCATCCCATCCCACCCCATCAAGCCGGCCGCAGCCCCACCTGCGCCTGCGCCTGCTGCTCCGCCTCCTCCCTCAACCGCATCTTGACCGCCTCATGCGTCTGCATCGCCATCTCCATGTCGACGTACCCCTCGCTCCCGACCGCCGCCGCCGACCCCTCCGCCCCGACCACGTGCACCTCCCCCAAGCTCCCCATCATCACCATCCGGCCCGTCTGCTCCCTGCGGCTGAACTTGCCATCCATCCCCCACGCGCGCTCCGTCACCCACACGCGCCCCTTGACCAAAAAACGCACCAGCACGAAGATGATGGCCATGCCGATGAGGATGCCGAAGCAGTACGCCGTGACGGAGCCGGAGCCGTTGGCCTGGATGTCGAGGAAGGAGTAGACGTAGAACCCTTGGGCGGCGTGCGTGACGTACGCGAGCCCGAGGTAGAGCGCGAGCAGGAGGGTGAGCGGCGCCATGTGCCACCACGGCGCGGGCGCGGTGCGCGGCAGCAGCACCTCCAGCAGCGCGAAGCCCGAGTTCATGGCGTGCGCCGAGATGTTGTAGTACGACGTGAAGGGCGTGGCGAACGAGTTGCCCGAGAGGATGGCCCAGTAGACGACTGGTTTTCAGGCGTTAGTGTTTCGTGTAGCTGTTTGTGTGACATTGGCCTGTTTTCTGCTATTCTTTTCCCTTTTCCTAAAAGCTGTCTTGTGGGAGAAGGGAAGGG